CAGTAAAGACGGTTCTCCCTCCCAAATTCCTCCTTCTACAAGCCTCAGTTATCCTGAATCAACTCTGTAGTTATGCTGCTATAGGCGTAGACTGCTGGAGGACATGCTGACCACTCTGCTACATTCTTCACCACTGCTCTCCATTTGCATTATTTCCTGTTATTCAAGCCATTAACTTTGTGTTTTCTCTAAAGCCCTTTTCAGATAGACATTCTGGAACATTTGTGGACAATTCAATCCGGTTTTTAACCGGAACTGTGTTTTCTCTAAGTGTTTTTCTCTCCATAAGAAGCTGCACTGGCATTCTGCTGAGCTGTGATACCCTCTTGGAGGGGGCCAGTAGCTGGCATACTACTCAACATTCTCCCTCTACTGGTGTTAACTTTTTACTTTCTTAACGTAGACTGTACTGCTACTAGTTCATCTGTTGTGTGTGTGTGTGTGTGTGTGTGTGTGTGTGTGTATCTGTTCCCTCTACTCAAACCCCCAGTCAGTCCTGGCAGATTGATGCTCATGCTGAGCCGGGATCTGTTGGAGGTTTCTTCCTGTTAAAGGAGAGTTTTCCTCTCCACTGTCGCTACATGCTTGCATAGTATGAAGGATTGCTGTAAAATCACTGACACAACAAGTCAGTGACTTGATGCACTCTGTTGGGTTTTCTTACATAGGAGACTTATAACTAATTGAACTAATTTAATTGCCATAATGAAATTAATTCAGTGCAGTAATGAGTAGGATCAATTGGAATGTTTACTTTGTAAAGTGCCTTGAGACTACTTGTTTTTTGATTTGGAGCAATCTAAATAAACTGAATTGAACTGAATAACACTGACATCAAGTTCCAGGAGCATTTTGTGGCTCAGAATAAATTTAAATATAAACATGATAAATATGCATTTAAGGCTGTCTGGCCAAGTGGGTGCAGAAAAACCACAGAAAATGTCTGGATTGAGTAGAAATCTGAACAAACAGCAGTATTTTAATATATAATCTGTGAAAAACAGCTGGAATTAGATGCACTGTGAAATAAAATTACAGGGAGTGCAGAATTATTAGGCAAGTTGTATTTTTGAGGAATAATTTTATTATTGAACAACAACCATGTTCTCAATGAACCCAAAAAACTCATTAACATCAAAGCTGAATGTTTTTGGAAGTAGTTTTTAGTTTGTTTTTAGTTTTAGGGGGATATCTGTGTGTGCAGGTGATTATTACTGTGCATAATTATTAGGCAACTTAACAAAAAACAAATATATACCCATTTCAATTATTTATTTTTACCAGTGAAATCAATATAACATCTCCACATTCACAAATATACATTTCTGACATTCAAAAACAAATCAGCGACCAATATAGCCACCTTTCTTTGCATGGATTCTGTCAGTGTTTTGATCTGTTCACCATCAACATTGCGTGCAGCAGCAACCACAGCCTCCCAGACGCTGTTCAGAGAGGTGTACCGTTTTCCCTCCTTGTAAATCTCACATTTGATGGACCACAGGTTCTCAATGGGGTTCAGATCAGGTGAACAAGGAGGCCATGTCATTAGTTTTTCTTCTTTTATACCCTTTCTTGCCAGCCACGCTGTGGAGTACTTGGACGCGTGTGATGGAGCATTGTCCTGCATGAAATCATGTTTTTCTTGAAGGATGCAGACTTCTTCCTGTACCACTGCTTGAAGAAGGTGTCTTCCAGAAACTGGCAGTAGGACTGGGAGTTGAGCTTGACTCCATCCTCAACCCGAAAAGGCCCCACAAGCTGCTCTTTGATGATACCAGCCCAAACCAGTACTCCACCTCCACCTTGCTGGCGTCTGAGTCGGACTGGAGCTCTCTGCCCTTTACCAATCCAGCCACGGGCCCATCCATCTGGCCCATCAAGACTCACTCTCATTCCATCAGTCCATAAAACCTTAGAAAAATCAGTCTTGAGATATTTCTTGGCCCAGTCTTGACGTTTCAGCTTGTGTGTCTTGTTCAGTGGTGGTCGTCTTTCAGCCGTTCTTACCTTGGCCATGTCTCTGAGTATTGCACACCTTGTGCTTTTGGGCACTCCAGTGATGTTGCAGCTCTGAAATATGGCCAAACTGGTGGCAAGTGGCATCTTGGCAGCTGCACGCTTGACTTTTCTCAGTTCATGGGCAGTTATTTTGCACCTTGGTTTGTCCACACGCTTCTTGCGACCCTGTTGACTATTTTGAATGAAACGCTTGATTGTTCGATGATCACGCTTCAGAAGCTTTGCTCTTTTAAGACTGCTGCATCCCTCTGCAAGACATCTCACTATTTTTGACTTTTCTGAGCCTGTCAAGTCCTTCTTTTGACCCATTTTGCCAAAGGAAAATTATGCACACCTGATATAGGGTGTTGATGTCATTAGACCACACCCCTTCTCATTACAGAGATGCACATCACCTAATATGCTTAATTGGTAGTAGGCTTTCGAGCCTATACAGCTTGGAGTAAGACAACATGCATGAAGAGGATGAGGTGGACAAAATACTCATTTGCCTAATAATTCTGCACTCCCTGTATATTAATGGCTTAGAAGAAGTATTTTTTAAGTGCAACGATGCACTTCAGACTTCCTCAAAGTGACATATAGAGCCTAAACCACTGCTGTCATGAGACTTTGGTCAAGTGGGGAAAAAGATGTGGTCGGACCGTGGCTGGTTGGCTGGTCGGGCTACACTGGAATGCAGGGTCTTTTGTTTGTCTGGGAGAGGAGTGGGTAAGGGGGAGAATGCCATTGATGATTGCAGAGAGGAAGAATGAACCTCCAGGAAGTGTTCTCGCTGTCTCTGCTCCCCCCTCTCTCATTCTCGATCTTTTTTTTTCCTGTGTGTGAGAACCTTCACCGTGCTGCTGAGGCCACGGTCCCCAGGCACAACCACTGCTTTGTCTTGCCTCTGTGAACACACACACACACACACACACACACACACACACACACACACACACACACACACACACACACACACTCCCCTCCTCTACTGGGCGCCTACGTTTGCCAGGGGAAGAGAAACACAGAGGCACGGCTCCTATTCTCATCCACATCACTGCCCCTGGATGGATGGTATGTCTGCATCAGCGCTGAATAGTAAATCCACTCTTTTCTTTCTCATTTTACCGAGAAAGTCAAGATGTTTAATGTTGTTTTTCAACAAATGAATATGGCTTCATTAAATGCATCTTGTCATAGGGTTATAACAGAAGGTTTCTCTGTAACAATAAGTAAAACTGGAATAAAGCAGAATTTGGCTGGTTGCCCCTTCCAAACTGGTGTCTGCCGTCGCCTCACAACACGTTGCTCATTCCCTTCTGTGTCAGGAGCTGCAAATTGTTCTTTCAAAATGCACGACAGCTGGAACGCGGGGCAAAGGTGACTGAAGCAGTTGGGGGAGCACAAGAAGGAGCGAAGGGGGAGGGAGGCCGAGATGAGCAGCTGCGACTTAGAACCCCTGTTTCTTCACACTGTCACCATCTCCAAATTATCACAGAGGAAACTTTAAATGGTATACTATTTGAGTTTTCAGGTTTTTATGCAAAAAATTACTCTTAATTTCTGTCTAGAGCGGTGGTGGCCCCAGAAAATTCTCACGGGGAGCTAGAGAACATCTTGGGGTGGCACACCAAATTCTTATTGTAACTTGCAGAATTTAGCCTGAGGCATTGCAGTTCTTCCTCATCCAGAACATTTACCCCTAAAGTAAGAAACACAAACATTACAGAAAAAGACATTTCAAATAGTTATTTTGACGTATTTTTTCAACCTTTTTATTTAGAATTTTAAAAGAGTTTAATGCATGTTGCTGGGGCAGATTATGTATAGGAAAATGCCAACGTGGAAGTATGTGAGATTTGTTTACTTAAGTAAATGTATTAAAGCAATGTACTTAAAAATAAAAAAAGTAAAAGTATTCAATTATAATTTAATATGTGTTCTGTGTGTAAAAAAGTTGCTTTTGGACCAATGGAGGGGGAAAAGTGCAAAGTAAAGTACTTTTGAAACATATTAGAAAATGTAGTAGAGTAAGTTAAATGTAAGCCTTTAAGAAAAGTATTTATGTAAAGTACAGATACAGAAATTTTGTACTTCAGTACAGTAAAGAAGTGCTTGTACTTTTTTACTGTCCATCACTGGATGAGGGGAGTCTTCCCTGGGGGGTGGACATTTTTAAGGGTGGCCATGCCCCCCTTGGGCCCTCCCTTGGGGGCACCACTGGTCTAAAGGCAAGAAAACCAAAAAGCTCAAAGAACTTATGACTCAAAACTTAAAATTTTCCGACTGGTGCTACTACGTTACTTCTGAGGATGAGAAAATGCCTTCTTTCATCTAAAGCAGACTTTTATTTGCAAGAAGCTTGCAAAAATTATCAAAATTTAAAGCCTGTTTTTTAAGAGGAAAGATAATAAGTCTTCTATAGCTTCCTCGTTCAGCTCTGACATTTAAAAGTGAGACAACACCATGATACATGAGAACCGTCTACGTGTGAAAAGTGCGTTTCGTCATTAATTTATCCCCAACTAAATAAATGTATTACACTAACAACCCTCCCCCCCCCCCCCCCCCCCCCCACACACACACACACACACACACACACCAGTTCGTGGGACAGGTGTTTTAATAAGACAGCCAATTGATGTCCCCCTCCGGTGTTCTCTGCTACTTGCTGCCGCTGTGTGAATTCTCGGAGTAGTACAGAAGTTATTGTGGATGCTCGAGATATCGCGAGACTTGAGCCATTATCAACCTGCTTGACACAGCAGCGCTGAGTGCAGCCTGCCTTCCCAGGGTCGGGGACTGGAGCTCAAGAAACGGCAAGAAGACGCGAACATCTGGACGCACATCATGAGGAGACAGCCGGGCTTGTAGGGGGAGACAGACCACGACGCGGAAGGAAATACATGTAAGTGGAGCGTTTTGGTGCTTAGAAACGCTGAAAGCGAAAGTTAAAGGAGAGTCCCCCCCCCCCCCCCCCTCTCTCTCTCTCCGCGTCGTTCAGCGCTGAGTTCCTCTGCTGTTTAAAAGGCTTCCAGCTATGCGTTTCCCGACATGGATCTCAGCTTTCTGCGCCCTTCAGCAGCGACGTTTTCGCCCTTTTCATTAATATCTACGTCTGTAGTCCACGTGAGACCTTTATTAGTATATATAAACTTTAATGCTGATGATATTTCCTGTTTTAATTTCCAGTTGAGCGGGTGCGTAAAACGGCTCCATCAAACTCCCCAAGCGCTTTTTTGTGTTATTATAATAATGATACATTTTCAATGCGAGCAGCGTTTTATAAAAGAAAAACATATTTTTAAGTTCTGAGTCTTTTTTGGACTGCCTTGCAGCGTTAACTAACATATGGCATAAAGAGGAGCACAGCTGGAGGTAGCGTTTCCATTGCGGTGATGTCAGAGCAGCTGACTCCACAGCTTGCAGTGCAATTAGCAAACAGAGCACCAGTTTACTCACTCTGCGAGGTCCTTTTTTCCTTCCTCCTCCGGCCGGACCGGTACTATCACCGAGCCCCGGTCCCACTGCTTGTCCTGTAAACAGCGCTGTTTGGTGTGTGTTTGGAGGAGCGCCGGTGCGTCACTTTTCGCGCAGGAACCCAATTCGGGCTCATCTTTTTGAGGAGAGGGGATCCGCTGGACGCCGTGGTCCATGGGTGGGTGAACGCACCTCAGAGAAATATGTCAAAATGAATGTTTAAAATTGGATAAAGTTTTGGATTTTGACCCAACAGTTTAGTTTCTTAATCCTACTGAGTTAAAGTCTTAATCTGTGAATAATTATTTGAAGTTGTGATCAAAACTGTAATGTTTGTTGCCACTTTTTGTGCGTTTTTGGTCACTTTGACTTTTGAAACGCAGCCACAGTTCAGCTGTGCCCTCTAAAATGCTGCCTCACTCGGTTGATCCAGCATCCTGTTTTTCCTGTTTTTCATCAGGTTATGAAGGAAGAATGGAGTTCCCAGACCATAGCCGCCAGTTGCTGCAGTGTCTGAGTCAGCAGCGTCACCAAGGTTTCCTCTGTGACTGCACTGTTCTTGTCGGAGAGGCTCGATTCAAAGCGCACAGAGCCGTGCTGGCCTCCTGCAGCATGTACTTCCATCTCTTCTACCGGGATCAGCTGGACAAAAGGGACGTTGTGCATCTCAACAGTGACATTGTGACAGCCCCGGCTTTCAGTCTGCTTCTTGAATTTATGTATGAGGGGAAGCTGGAATTCAGCGCTCTGCCTGTGGAGGATGTCCTGGCAGCAGCTAGTTACCTCCACATGTACGACATCGTGAAAGTGTGCAAAGGTAAGCTTAAAGACAAGGAACTCTCTGCCCTGGATGAAAAGATCGCGGAGCGTTTGGGACTCGGCTGCATGGACAGGGAGAATTCCTCGGATGGGGAGCAGCACAGTAAGCAGCTCATCCAGCGACAGCTCCAGATACAGTCTCACGGGCTTCCCAGGGCCCCCCCTGTGGAAGAGTTTGACATGGACAACAGAGAAGTCAAGCTGGCTGTCACAGATTGTGATAGGTCTACGCAGAGCAGGCAGAAGGCGAACGGTCACTCTGGCAGGTCCCCGGACCTTGTAGGTGTCAATTATGTGTCAGCAGAGGCCGAGCCCTGCGTCCAAACAGCTGGAAAAACAAAAGCTGATGTCAGTAGTTCCACCGTATTGCTGTCCCTGAGGTCCCGGGCTTCAGATGACATGGACTGTGCTCTGGATTTGTCTTTCAAGCCTCTGTCTAGCAGAGATCCCTTACACCCCTCCTACGTCTCGGGACAGCTGGCCCTCGACAGCCAGCAGCAGGGCACTGAGCCACTTGTTAAAGACGAACACAACTTGCTGTCAGAGCAGGAGGACAGTGAGCCGATGAGCCCTGAGAGCCAGCGCTTTGGGAATAGTGCCAGGAGCTCAGTGGTGACAGGGTTCGCTGCCCTCTTCCCAGGCAACAACGGCGCTACAGCCGCCCTGCTCTCCCAGGAGGAGGACCTGATGGACGAGGAGGGGGAGGCCTACAGGAGGAGGGAGGGTGCTCCAGGCAGGGAGGTAGACAGGAGGGGTAGGCTGCTGGGGGACAGCGAGGAAGAGGAGGAGGATGACCTGGCCTCCTCAGACATCTCCACCTCCAGCGGGGTGCTCCTGGCCCCGGGACAACAGGTGTGCGTGTGCCCTCTCTGCAGCAAAGTCTTCCCCAGCCCTCACGTGCTGCAGCTGCACCTCAGCTCACACTTCAGAGAGAAGGACGGCCCTCGCTCCAAGCTGTCCCCCGATGGCTCTGTCCCCACGTGCATGCAGTGCAACAAGACCTTCTCGTGCATGTACACCCTCAAGCGCCATGAGCGCACGCACTCTGGCGAGAAGCCATTCACCTGTGGCCAGTGCGGCAAGAGCTTCCAGTACTCCCATAACTTGAGTCGGCACGCTGTGGTGCATACGCGCGAGAAGCCTCACGCCTGCAAGTGGTGCGAGCGGCGCTTCACTCAGTCCGGTGACCTTTACCGCCACATCAGGAAGTTTCACTGTGGCCTTGTGAAGACGCTCGCCATCGGATGAAACGCCTCTCACCAGTGCCACAAGATCGAATGTCTTTTCTACACTGAATTCTACTACTGAACCGTTTTTGCTGTTACTGTACACATGTTGGGAGATTGAATGGAGACGTCATGTGGATTCTACCCCCCCATGAGGCATTTGTCACGTCTAAAGGTGTTGCAACGTTAAAACTGGAGCTGCTTCCTGTGCTGGACTGCGTCGTAGCCTCTAAACGATTAGAGGAGTTGCTGGATCTGTGTCACTAACAAATCAGATGATGCACTTGATTGTTTTCTGTCTTTGTTTATGTCAATCTGTTGAGTTTGCTGAAAGAAGAAGAAATCCTTTGGGGCGATAGCTAATACCGAAACACAATCGTCAGAGACTTTAACCGTGCACAGACCAGAACCGTCCTCGAGTAGCAATATGTGAATTTGTTTGTTGTTTTTAACACCTACTTTAATTGTATAATTTATTTTTCTGGGGATTTATTTAGTCCTTAATTATCACGAAGCAGAAAAACTAATGAAGTTTGACTACTGGAAGTATGATTTTACCGTTTTTATGAGTAGATTATTTGTGAAACTTAAGTTTTTGTGACAAGAAGCAAGCAGACCATCATATCTTCTTTTTTTTTGTCTTTGAGAACATCTCCATGAATTAGCCTTCTACTTTTGCCACTTTAAAAAAAGTTGCATCGACAGATGGAAAGTAGTTAAAAACTAACGTCTGCAACTCTGCTGCCTAATGAAATTCTAGTGTACTTCCTAAAATAATAAGATGTATTGTCATGCCTTTTTTAAAACATTTGAGGCCTTGGGGGAATAATACCGGATATCACTTACTTTAGTGTTAAAGAAGGTGCAAGAATGAACTCCTTTGGGTCAAACATACCTTTTTAGTTCCTGGTAGGGTACAAAAGTTACTCTGATGGTGTTGAAGAGCTGCTGGAACGGGGTAAACCTCTATCAGAACATCAAAACCGTGCCATCCAGCTCTACTCATTTCCCCTTTTGCTTTGACCTTGTTTATATCAGTATGTGTGTGTGTGAGTGTGTGAGTTACTACTGATGAAGACTTCACTTTTTTGAGCAGGAAATGCATCTTTCTGTTTATAGACTTTGGAGCGTAGCACTAAAAAGTTCATAATATTTGTCTAATCCTTCCTGAGAAGACTTGATCTGAATTTATTTATTAGTTTGACTTGGTTCAGGGCTTACTGTAGCTGTTTTTAAGCTGGAAGGCGCTGCATCTTGGCTAGCGACCTTGGTACTCATTAACTGGTGTCGGGGCTGTCGGTTCTCTCTGCAAATCACGTTACTGTAATTGTAATTTTAATATATTGTTTAGACATCTACGGAATATTCAAGATTGTTTGTTTCACACATAGAGAAGCACTTGTTTTTAGCATGCATATAGTTGTCTAGGCTGCTATTTCTTACTGTTTATGTATTTAATGTAAATATATATTATATTTATCAGATGTTTTTGTTTTCCATGTTACAAAAAACACGTGGGCGAGAGAGAGAGGGAGAGAGAGAGAGTCAGGTGTGTCTCTTAGCATCTTCCCCAGGGAGTTAGCTTCCTTTATGCCACCTTCAACACGCCGTTGGACTCCACCTCACTGCAAATCAGAGCATTTAAAAATGTTCCTCCTGTTCGGCCACAGGAAACAGTGGTTCACAAGCACACTCTGATACTGGCTACCTATAGAAACGAGACAATACAGCCATTGTTAGCCCCCCCAAGTTCCAGGTAGTTCTCAAGGGATCATTGTGTATCTCTCCTTGCTGAGGGGGAAAATGCATTTCGAGTCTCTTTGCACTTTTTCTGTATTGAATGAAGCTAATGGAATGTGAGAAATGTTTTCAGCAAAGGGGGGTGTTACTATTTTTCCCAAATGCAAAATTTGGCAAAACATGCATCAAGTTTCCACCTCAAAGTTATACACAAAGCTTGAGATGCATCCAAATAAGTAAGCTGGTTATTGGAATTGGCCTGAATAAAAAAAAAATAAAAGCCAACATTTTGTCCTGGTCCATAAACTTGCAATTTCTAAGCACTGATTTCCCAAATTAAAAATAGGATTCTGTTATATTCTAAAAATAAAAATCAGCATCAGCTGTACAAAAATCGGTATCGGCCCTCATAACAAAAATCAGTGCATCTCCAATCAAAACGCCTTTTATGGTCAACAAAATGAATTCAGATGTGATTTCTCAGACTTGGCAAGAGTTTCCATTATTTTTACTCAAAGAGACGAAGTAAAAAGTGAGGATTTCTTCACAACGACTAAAAACACTCCTGTGGTTCTCATCACAGAGCACTGGATCTGTTTCACACACTGTTCTTGACTAGTGCTGTTAATTTGAATCAGAGCACAAAGGAATGTAGTTCTTTTTCTTCTTTTAAAGGAACACTTCTACATGCTTGAAGCTGATTCCCTGATGTACGTGTGTGTGCGTGTGTACAGCGGTAGAAAAGTTTTCTCGTTATCGTTGCTGTCTTTATTTATACCTCCAGAATGGTCACCACATGTGCCTTGCAGACACACAAACAGGTGTTGCATCTGGAGAAACCCTTTTAGTTTCTATCCTGTATTTTGTTTTTGCCCTTGACTCCGATGGTAAAGTTCACATCAAACTGCTGATATGACATATTTTCAATCATCATAATGTAAAAAAATTCAACTAAAAATCAAAAATAATAGCAATGTTTTATGATGAGGGTTTGAAATTTATGTGAATAAAATTGTTCCGGTTGTGTTTGAAGTTTTTGGCGTTTTTTAAGCCAATCCCGGGGACTAACCATTTGTTCCTTTTGTATTTCTTTCTTTTTACGTCACTATTTAAATGTGAAACGCTGAGTTTTTGATTGTCGACTTTTGATCGAGGGCGAATGTTCGCTTAACTCACACTCTGTACGATCTTTTCAGTAAAAAAAATACTGAAACTGGAATTTTGTCATTTGCAGGCTCCAACTGTGAAAATGTTTATAATCACGACAAATATTTATTACTGTGTTCTTGTGCAACATTTGACGGATTTAATTTGGTTTGAGAAGAAAAAAAAAGCCTCTACATGTTGAAAACTTTTTCATAGAATTTTTTAGAAGTGTCATTCGAATTTAATATACGTTTTTTATCCAGAAAGGTATATTTTTTAGTACTGCTTCAGTGTTAGTGGTGTAGCGTTTAGAAGACAATCCTCATGAACAATTGGCATTGCTTAGATGATGAACATTTTCATTTTGATCCATACCTGTGCTTATTTTGGGTCTTGGTTTGCGCTTTCGGAGTGTGCCTGTGTGAGTGTGCCGTGAAAATGTGACAATCTTGATTTAGGAGATTATACATAGAATTAAACGAAAAAGAAAAATCTTTCTCTGCTTGTGTGGCGCTGGTTTATTCTTCTTTTTCAGAGCAGATTGGTCCTAAAAACGTAAAACGTGTTGCAGAGGAGTTTTTGTGTGACACACTGGCTGTGTGTAAGCATCGCTGGGGTGTGTACAGAGACAACACAATGTGATAATACTGCTGGTCTTACAGGCTTCATCCCAATGAAACCATAAACTGAGCTCAAGGACGGAGCAGCTTCAAGATGAGCTCTCTGTTGTTTCTGACCTGTTGCCAACACAAAACAATTAATGATCATGTTTCACTTCTAAAACTTCCGACACACAAACCAAATCTGTGTCTAATTGAGGAGCTTCATGCCAATTCGCTGGACGTTTTCAATAGCAAGGACCTTTAATTATTTCCCCGCTGCACCATGAAAGAAATCCAGCTGCTTTGCTACGTGATCCCAATTGGGATGTGCTCTGGTTCCCACCACCCTCCCCCAAATCCCAGCTCACACACTCTGGGAACGCTGTACCCTACCACCCCCTTCAGTCCATCCTAACTCCACCCCTCCCAAAAAAACGTGGGCCCCCCTAACTTCAGCCTCATCCCCACTGCTCCATTGTGTGCGTGGGTAGTAGCTCAGCCAGGCTATTGTCTGGCGCGGCTCCCCAGCTCGTACTTTAATGCACAAACAGACGACACAGCGGCGCTGGCTAGGCAGCACCAACATAAAGACAACAATGTCCTCCCAAGATCATTCATAACCACCCCGAACGGCCCCGGCAGGGTTACGGCACTGTAAATAAGGGCTCTCCTCGGTGCAACACTGTAAACAGCAGCGGGCCTCACCTGCATCTCACATCTGCCCCCTGTAACGGATCTGGGGTTTAACTTCCTGGTGTGGGCTTCTTATGAACCAACACATTCACATGGAAAGCAGGGGCCATGTGATAGGGCTTAGCTGCAGGGTGACGAGCTGGGATATGTAATAAAACATTCCTCTCAGAGGCTCAAAGCCGAGGCTCGTTGGATTTGTGTGTGTGCGCGCGCGTGTGTGTGTGTGTTTGGAAGTACTTGAGAGAAGTTGAGAGGAAAAGTTGTAAGTGTCCACCACCTCAACAAGGCCAGCGGTGGGAGCCCTTGACCTCTGAAGGGGACGGCCTGCCAGGGACAGCTGGTGTGGCCTGTGCTTATTTATTTATTTCTTAACAAAAGACAGGTGGTCACACTTGAAAAGGGCACACAAACACATCCACACACGCACTTGTGTACAGACGACACACACACACACACACATGCATATAGTTACCATCCACTTAATTCCAGAGGAAGCTGTTTGACTTTCAAAAAATCTATGAATTTAAATTCAGCACGAGGACGCTTCTGCAAAACGCTTAAAAGGCATTTAGCACCATTTAGCTCAAACGCATTCATTATTATTAAACATGGCTCACTTGTGTTTTCTTTGCCTTTTTTGGACCGGTTTGCCCCGACGGTGCCAAGACAGCATGTCCTTGGTCCACTGTACAGCTGTCACTTACTCACACTCGCATATTTATAGCAGCAGCATCACTGGCTTTGACGCTCGCCACGCTCAGACCACAGCTGGTCCCCAAAAGAATGGGTGAAAGACAAAGCCACGTGCTCCTGCTGGCTGGGTGCAGTTGGTGCTGTCTGCTAGGCGCCCGTTTTCTCACAGAGGAAGAGGGGGTTGGGGGGGGGCTCTCCTTAGCAAGGCAGCATTGTGACCTTTTGGTCTTTCTGTTGTGGTGGATGAAGATGTGCCGAAAACTTCACCAGCTGCAGTCTTGTTTTGGATGTTTATAAAATCATCATTTTAGAGTTGAAACAAGGGTGCAGAAAAATTCAAAGCATTTAATTTTAAATTTTTGGTCCGCATTGCCGGCAGTAAGTCGGGCTCGTTCCCAGTGAGAGTTGGACTCCGCCAAGGCTGCCCTTTGTCACCGCTTCTGTTCATAACCTTTATGGACAGGATTTCTAGGCACAGCCAAGGTGTGGAGGGCATCCGTTTTGGTGGCCTGAGGATCAGGTCTCTGCTTTTTGCAGATGATGTGGTCCTGTTGGCTTCATCAGAACGTGATCTTCAGCTTTCGCTGGAGCGGTTCGCAGCCGAGTGTGAAGCAGCTGGGATGAGAATCAGCTCCTCTAAATCTGAGACCATGGTCTTGAATTGGAAAAGGGTAGAATGCCTTCTCCGGGTCAGGGATGAGGTCCCGCCCCAAGTGGAGGAGTTTAAGTATCTCGGGGTCTTGTTCATGAGTGAGGGAAAACTGGAGCATGAGATCGATAGGCGGATTGGTGCTGCATCTGCAGTGATGCGGGCGTTGTACCGGTCTGTCGTGGTGAAGAGAGAGCTGAGTCAGAAGGCGAAGCTCTCGATTTACCGGTCGATCTACGTCCCAATCCTCACCTGTGGTCATGAGCTTTGGGTAGTGACCGAAAGAACGAGATCGCGGATACAAGCGGCCGAAATGAGTTTTCTCCGAAGAGTGGCTGGGCTCTCCCTTAGAGATAGGGTGAGAAGCTCGGTAATTTGGGAGGGGCTCGGAGTAGACCCGCTGCTCCTCCACATTGAGGTGGCTTGGGTATCGGGTCAGGATGCCTCCTGGACGCCTCCCTGGTGAGGTTTTCCGGGCACGTCCAACCGGGTGGAGACCCAATGGTAGACCCAGGACACGGTGGAGGGACTACGTCTCTCACCTGGCCAGGGAACGCCTTGGGATTCCCCCGGAGGAGCTGGTCCAAGTTGCTGGGGAGAGGGAAGTCTGGGCCTCTCGCCTTAGGCTACTGCCCCCACGACCCGACTCCGGATAAACGGGTGAAAATGGATGGATGGATGGTTTATTTTTTACAAATCTCCAGTTTAATACACGTCCGACTCCTGTTAGCTGCAGCTGATGCCTTTGAACGCAGCTTTTAAAATGAAACATCTTCCTTTCAAGTTTATCAGAGTTCCTTAAAGTCTTATCAAGAAATGTGCAGACGACTTGACGCCTGGCTCACCAGCAGCTGTAGGCTCGCTCAGCCAGGAATCAAGCGGTGCCCTTGGACACCAACTGCATGAGCTCCCTGAAGACCAGAGCCACAACTGGCCCGCTGAGTAGGCGATGTGACTCAACAGCTCACACTCGTCCCAGCCAGAATCCACTACATGCTGTCATGCAGCTGATTTCAGATAAGTGCCAGAACTTTTTTCCCCTATGTATAATACTTGACCCTGAATCTGTCAGCAGTGACAAACAGCAGCCGACGTGATGTGATGATACACCGCAAGGTCACGTCCAACTGTCTGCTTCAAAGCTTCTGGTCCTCCTCAACACTGGTTTTATTAAATAAATAAATCTGATACATTCTCAAGGTCATTCTGGTCAAACTGGGTCAGGATTTCATTATCAAGCTGAGACTAAACTTACTGACTCTAGCAAAATAACACAACTCATCATCTCAGTGACTGGTGATGAACGCTGCCACCTGCTGATGTTTAAACCGAAAAAAAAAAAGTTTTTGGATCTTTAAAGTTAAAAAAAATCATCCAAAACTGTATCCAAAAGTTTATTTGAGTTCATTATTAGACGTATATACATGAGATCATTTGAAACGAAACAAAAAAACAAGAATATAAAATGTAGGCTTTATCTCATGAGGCTTTTATACATGATCAGCTCCCGATTCCTCAGTTGGTCGTGTTTTACGGTGAACAGCTGCAGCACAGAACTTCATCATATCGCCCACTGTAACTAGAGGAAAAAACATTTATTGTGTTAAAATCATCACATTTCGGTTCAAACAGAACAAATTTGAGCTGCACAACTACAGAAACATAAATATCACCAAACAATCAAATCTGTCCTCAAATGTTCTGCAAGACCTTTATTCTTTGTTATGTTGGAAACAAATGTGTACATAAGAAAAATATCATCCAGGTTAATTAAAATTTATATTTCAATCATCCAAGTAAAAATTACTGGCAAGCTTTAAAAAAAAGTTATTCTAATGATGTCTGCCTTTGTCTCCCCCTTGAGGCAGTAATTGTAATTACAGCACCAATAAATCCAGACTTCTCAAAATAATAAATCTCTTTTTTAATCTTGAATTCTTCTTAATCTCCCATGCAGCATTCACAAAACCGTTAGATTATTAGATTTTAAATCAGCACAATAAAAAATATGCAGGACCGCTTGAATAAATATAAAATCTGCTTTGCAATTATGCACTTTAAAATTATTTTGACATTTATTCCCAGATATATTTGGTCTTTCTACAGGAATAAAACATTTCAGCCAAAACAAGAGTAATTTACAACGTATAACCAGAATGGTTTTTGAATTATAACCTTTCACAAGTTGGAACCATTTGTTTGCACCCCATGTGCAACATCTATGGTTAGCAGAAACAATCTCCAAACATCAAAACCAACATAATAAAAGACACAAACATATAATTTTAACTTTAACAACTGGTGCAGGGATGCTATTGTTCTTCAGCACGGTGTTCTGGGAGTCACAAGTCCCAAAACGTGACTTACTCTGTGATGGTGCAGACCGAGCAGCAGAAGCTGGAGCAGCTGGAACACTGTCGGGTACAAGAGGAGCAGACTAGTCGGTCACACTGGGAACACGGTGCCCTGGAGCCCTGGTTTTTCTGGCACACACAGCAGGCTGTGGAAGCTGCTGGTGCACCTATAGAAAAGAGACAATAATTATATATATATATATATATATATATATATATATATATATATATATTAGGGCTGCACAATATATCGCAAAAATTATCGTCATCGCAATAACAGGACGTGCGATAGGCCCATCACAAAACACGGCAAAAACAGCGATAAATGTTTGGTTCAAACATTTCCATCCGTGTCATACATCAGCTTTTTGTAAACCAGCTCTGTTTTTTACGTGGAAGTATTATTTGACCAATCAAATGTAATCCTTCTGATATGCGGCCAATCAGATGGTTCCGTTCACGTAATACGCCCGCCCCCTACATACAGTTGTGGTCAGAAGTTTACATACACTTGTAAAAAATATAATATAATGGCTCTACTGAGTGTCCCGTTATTTCTAAAACTCTGATTTTTCTCTGATAGAGTGATTGGAACAGATACTTCTTTGTCACAAAAAACATTCATGAAGTTTGGTTCTTTAATGTCTTTATTATGGGTTAACAGAGAAAAGTGATCACATTTGCTGGGTCACAAATATACATACAGCAACATGAACTAGCAATTTAGGTGACTTAGAAACGTGTCAGTGAACTGAGCTTCATAGCATGGCCTCTTAACTTCTTGTGAGTGATTATGAGTGACTACAGCTGGTGACTTCTCTTAGGCCAGGTAAATAGGGCTCATTGGATACAAACGCCCACAAACGCTACAATGGGAAAGTCAAAGGAGCTCAGCATGGATCTGAAAAAGCGAATTATTGACTTGAACAAGTCAGGAAAGTCACTTGGGGCCATTTCAAAGCAGCTGCAGGTCCCAAGAGCAACAGTGCAAACAATTGTTTGTAAGTATAAGGTGCATGGCACTGTTTCATCACTGCCAAGATCAGGAAGAAAACGCAAGCTATCACCTGCTGCTGAGAGAAAATTGGTCAGGAGGGTAAAGAGTGAACCAAGAATCACCAAAAAGCAGATCTGTCAAGAATTAGAAGCTGCTGGAACACAGGTGTCATTGTCCACAGTCAAACGTGTTTTGCATCTCCATGGACTGAGAGGCTGCCGTGCAAGAAGGAAGCCCTTGCTCCAAAAGCGGCACCTTAAGGCTCGACTGAAGTTTGCTGCTGATCACATGGACAAAGATAAGACCTTCTGGAGGAAAGTTCTGTGGTCAGATGAAACAAAAATCGAGCATTTTGGCCACAATGCCCAGCAATATGTTTGGAGGAGAAAAGGTGAGGCCTTTAACCCCAAGAACACCATGCCTACAGTCAAGCATGGTGGTGGGAATATTATGCTGTGGGGCTGTTTTGCTGCCAATGGAACTGGTGCTTTACAGAGAGTAAATGGGATAATGAAGAAGGAGGATTACCTTCACATTCTTCAACATAACCTCAAATCATCAGCACGAAGGTTGGGTCTTGGGCGCAGTTGGGTGTTCCAACAGGACAATGACCCCAAACACACATCAAAAGTGGTAAAGGAATGGCTAAATCAGGCTAGAATAAGGGTTTTAGAATGGCCTTCCCAAAGTCCTGACTTAAACCCCATTCAATACATGTGGACAGTGCTGAAGAAACAAGTCCATGTCAGAAAGCCATCAAATTTAACTGAACTTCACCAATTCTGTCAAGAGGAGTGGTCAAAGATTCAACCAGAAGCTTGTGGATGGCTACCAAAAGTGCCTAATTGAAGTGAAAATGGCTAAGGGACATGTAACCAAATATTAGCACTGCTGTATGTATATTTGTGACCCAGCAAATGTGATCACTTTTCTCTGTTAACCCATAATAAAGACATTAAAGAACCAAACTTCATGAATGTTTTTTGTGACAAAGAAGTATCTGTTCCAATCACTCTATCAGAGAAAAATCAGAGTTTTAGAAATAACGGGACACTCAGTAGAGCCATTATATTATATTTTTTACAAGTGTATGTAAACTTCTGACCACAACTGTAGACCCTTTTGGAAAGCAACACCCGAGCATTAGCGGCGCTGTTCCCTTGCTCGTCATGCTGGCTCAGAGCAACGAACGCACTTTGTGCTGATATTTCTGGATTCAGCGCTGCTTTCAGACGTCAACGTGACTCCACTCGGTGTCATTAATCATTTTTACCGGGCTGACTCCGACACGTGCCGGTGAACCAACCCACCTTCATGTTGCTAGTGTTAGCCCCAGGCTCCGGTTAGCTTCCAGCTAAAAGGCTACAGCACTCTCCTCCCAGTCCCACCCTGCTAAAGAGGGCCTGGAAAAGTTCCCCCACACATCAAAGTGATTTTTCCTTTATGAGCTTTTATAACCTTGTTAATCAGGATAGTTGATTTGCTGCTGCACATAAACTGTCAGTCAGAAGCTCTGCTAGCCGGTTATTTTAGTTCAATTTGTTAGCTTGTTATCAGAATCATAGTTGCAGTTTCATCATCTGAGCTGCTTTTTAAGATCTAGGTAAACTTGTTCAATTTGGGGTTAAAAACAAACGTTTTCACATATTTTCCATGTAGTTTTTTTGCCAGTTCCTCTTCTGAAAGGTAGACAATTGTTTTTCTCTTTCCCTCAGAAAATCTTAATTTTCTCCTAGTTTGGCCCAGCACAGTTCACTTCCCAATTACAGCAACAGCCTTACATCATAACCACATAAGTGGAGAAAATGCTCAGTAGCAATGAGAGAATTTGCTGTTGCATTTAAGTGATGCTAACTATTATTTAACATTAAAACTTATTTTCAGATATTTTAATTTATTCAAAAACCCTGGTAAGGGATGTTTTTCTGTATTTGGAGCATCAGAAAAAGTTTTATGGTGGAGGTGATGTTTTAAAGTCACTGAGAAACTGCATGCATGCAGTTTGTTGTTTTGCTGCTAATACAGTAGCAGGTGCAGCAGCTAATACAGTAGCAGGTGCAGCTGCTAATACAGTAGCAGGTGCAGCTGCATATTTTTGCAATAAAATGTTATGTTGTAATTGAATTCATGCATTAGTTTTTGTTTGCTTTGAACCCAGAGCAGACGTCACACGCCAGACGACATCAACACTGCATACGTTTGCAATTTGCTGGGTTCCTTATATAGGAAACATTATTTCTGATTGGCTTAATGAACTGACCTGAATTGGAATGTTTATTATGTGAAGTGCCTTGAGACGACTCGTGTCGTGATTTGGCGCTATATAAATAAACTTGAATTGAATTGAATATTTGTTCATTTATCGTGAGTAATATCGATATCGCAATATTAAGCACTGTTATCGAATATCGCAGGTTTTCCTAATATCGTGCAGCCCTAATATATATATAAGCCATTAACAACCAAAAAAGTATGTAAACATGTGACATGCCTGACACCTGCTGGTAAAAAGCATCAACTGAAACAACCACTGGTTTTAAATGATGAAAATAGCTGATTATTTATTTATACCTTTAATTTGATGTAAAGCAACATATTTTTATAACATTTTAAACAGCTGCTGCTAATTTACATGTAGACCCAAAAGTAAACAGTTAAAAAACAAGGGGTGGGGTATCTAAATTCAATGGTTTCTGCAGTGCTTTAAAGAAATATCTATGCATCCAGGAGTGCAGAAGTAACTTTGCATCATTACATCAACGTTTATGCTTTAAAGTAACTGAATTCTTATATGTTTTGCAGCTTTTGTGGAAGACTAGTCCAGATGTGTTTTGCTAGTGAACAGATGCCGCTGTTGAGTGAATTATCGTTGTCTTCTCTCACACCACCAGATCCTTTAGATGAATGGTAGTAGGCGGTCTTTTTGCAATTTCTTTCAACATAACAGAACAGATCCTTGACTTTATGTGCAACTGCTCACCGTGAGCTTCATTTGAGACCCACCTTGTGCAGCACTTGTTTTAGTGAGTCTTCCATCTTGTCCAATAAGTGTCTGTCCTCTCAGGAGGGTCTGGCTGCATGCAGATGTGTGTCCACTGGGCTGCGAGTCTGCGCACTTCTCTCCTGTCCAGATTTTGTCCATTACAACTTTAGCACCATTGAAGAGCAAGTCCTTTGTCTTTTCTGCGAGAGGGAAATAAACACAAATCAGTCAGGAGGGAAAGCACAGGAGGTCAGCTGATCTCCTGTGTATATCCACCTAATACAATTTATTTGCACTCAGTAACATTTATAAATTTGCTCGGTCTTTACCTTTTAAGCCTTTCAAGCTCAAATGAAGCAATAGCAACTTAAGTTAGACTTTAAGATGTAAAACCCAAATTAATATCACTGACGGAGACGGAGCAAATATCTGATTATATCGACTACACAAAAGAGATCAACAGAGAGAACATTTTGCATTAAATAGAAAACAGAATATTTTCAATTGTGCGCAACTACGAACTAAGCTAGCTAACAACAGCTACGGTAGCGATAGACGAACATTTACTTAAGTAACTTACCATATATTTCTTGCCTGTATTTGGTCCCATTTACGCCATATTTGTTCAACTCTTGTTGTCCGATGTGTATTTTGTACTGAGAGGAAAAGGTTTCGGGAAAAGGACATGTTCGTTTTGGCATTTTCTGGCTGCTAAAAGTGCTCAAGCTACTCTCATCAAACACAACTCAACACATGTTGCGGGAAATGTAAAAAAAGAGGCACTAAGGAACCAATTACGAATAGGTTTAATTATCACGTGACAGAAAAGAGCCAATCTATAAACGACCTTCTTGTCACATGACTAATGGTTGCGCATCACTGTGCTGCATTTTGGACCGTCGGTGCTTTTGTGTGTGTATTTTTTTTAAACAAAAACGGATTAACAGGTAAATAAACTTAAATTGATATATTTATTTTAAAATATTTTTGATAAACAATACAAAACATAGCTGGTTCAGAACAGAAGGCATTACAATGAGGTTTTATGCATCTGTTGTGTGGAACCAGCGCAGAAAGTAACTTTTTAAATACATGCCTCAGTGATCGGTGATCTAGTTTTATTACGCTTTCATCAACATTTTAATAGGTCTGTTATCTTTGCTTTTATTCTTTTAATGCTAATTATTTTACAGGTGGTGCTTTTTCAGTTTTTCACATTTCAGTCATTAGATTTAAGAAGACTTCATTAATCCCTGAGGGGCAATTAAAAGGCATCGTGAAGCAGCACAGACATAGACACAAACATAAACATACAGTTATCATTCAATGTGAGTGGTTCGAAATAGCAAGTGTCTATTTACACACGAGAGTGTTTTAAAAAGTTTTTTCCTGCATGTTTTAAAATTCTTACTGCTTGAGGGTTTCTTAATTAATAAATCCACAGATCTAACTTAAAAAATGTTTAGTATTAAATAGCCACACCTTTCTAAATTTCCTATTTTAACTTAGTGAGTGGAAATGGATTCATACTCTGAATAACTGAATTAAAGAATAATTTAATAGAGTATGAGAAGAAACAGCAGACACACAGCCAACAGTGCTATGAGATTTGACAGATATCTTTTTATTGTTTGAGGAAAACATTGTGTTTGTGGTGGAAAAATGCCCCATTTTGTCACAGTTTTCTTCAAGTCAAAGTTTGGTTTAGAACATCTGGATCATGCACTCTCTGGACTTTCCAACACCAACCCACTTGACTAGAAAGAGAGAAAGAAACACACAGATTATAAAAACAAATTTCTAAAAAAGCCACCTAATGGGTTATATGCAGTCTTGCTATTTACTTTGACTGATCTGCAGAGATAAATACATACTGGGTACTCCAATGTGGTTCTCAATGAATCTTATATAGTTCTGTGCTTTGGCTGGAAGATCATTCCACTTCCTGGCTGTAGATGTGTCAGTCTTCCACCCGGGAAAGGTCTCATACTCAACTTCCACTTTGTGCAAAATATCCATGTTGGCTTAAAAAAATGAAGAAAAATGCAACTATCACAAACTTTTCAGACTAAATATTAAATCTAGGACTGTAACTCGGCTTTTTGTTACCTGGGAAATGAGGAATTCTCTTCCCATTGAGTTTGTAGGCAATTCCAACTTTAATCTCATCCAGCACATCCAGAATATCAAGCTTTGTTAAAGCAATGCTGTGGGAAACGTGACAACATTTTTAGATTTCTATACAAATGTTGCAACAACAGCCAAACACTAGCCCAGTAAACTAGACCAAATTCTTGCTTTGCAAAGTATGCATTCACATGTTTAAGATGGCTTGCCAGGCTATAGCCAAACACAACAACTACAATAAAGGAAAACCTGGTGATCTGCCTAAACTTCTCCTGCCACTCACGCTGTAAAGCCATTAATCATGTGGGCATATCGCATAATGACGAGATCCAACCAGCCGCAGCGCCGCTTCCTCCCTGTAGTTACGCCCACCTCATGACCCCTCGTCTGCAATAACTCTCCAGCAGCCTGCAGAAATCAGGAGAAATCAGGAGAAAAACGTTTCAGTTCCTTTGTGGATGTAAATATCTGTTTAATGAACCTATGGACGTCTAAAAATACACAGTAAAGCAATGCAAGTACTATAGTACAGACTACAATGAGGTGAAGTTAAAACATCTTGACCTTTGTCTTTACGGTCCGTTCCAGTAACAGGTAACATAATCCCGACTGGTACAGTAAAAATATCCTTAACCCAGAATCTGGCCCTGAATTTTTCTGTGCAGCATGTGATCTGAGAAAGAGCTAAAGAGCGCATCTCTCACAAAAACTAACAGCTGCACTGAGTCAAAATGCTCCCACACACTGTACATATCAGGCTTTTTCTAAATAAAACAAGATTTCCATGCATTATTTTCTCCTAAAAACCTGCAAACCAGCTCTTACGTTGAGTTGTTCCGTAGGGAAGGCTCCGATTCCCACCCTGGTGCTGTAGGCCTTGGCCACACCAAACACATCACCAATATTGAGTGGAGGGATCCCGAGACCGGTGCACACCCCTCCCACAGTGCAGTTTGATGATGTCACAAAAGGATAAGTGCCTGCAAAAGATGCTTTAGTGCATTGCAATAACGCTAAAACATGTCATGCAACAAATGTTTTTGGAATAAAAGATTACCAAAGTCAATGTCAAGCAGAGCAGCATTCGCCCCTTCAACGAGAATCCTCTTCGGTGGTCCATGAAGAGCTTCATACATGTAATAAACTCCGTCTCTCACCATTGGGCGCAATCTTTCTGCGTAATCCTGCAATGCCAAGAAACCAGAAACCATCATTAAAGGAGACTTATAATGAAAAACTCAATGTTTTTGCATCCTTTTGTGCTGCCGTGTGAGTCTCTACTGCCTCTATGAACACTCCAAACATGAAAAAAAAAACCAAGCAACAGTTTTCTATCAGTGTTTTGTTTCATGAATTAGATCCCTCAAGCAAGCTGTTTCAAAAAGTTCCCATTTTTGGACAAATTGTAGAACTTCCTCTCATGTGTTGCTGGAGGAGCAGCAGCTCTACTTCGAGTCCCTCCCAAATATCGAAGGTGCTCATCTTATAGTAGCCTGAAGAGGGGATGGGTGGGCGTGGCCAACTCCTGCTTATTTTCTTAAAGTGACAGGGCCCTGAAACAGCTCAGTCTAGAAAGCGCTGAAACGGTCAAGAATAAAAATGCTGAAATTGCTTTAGGCGAGAGGGATTTAGTGTAAAAAGCATCACAAAAATGTTTTGTACTGACCATTGAACTATTATAATTAAAGAAAAATGTACCCTTTAATAATTTTTTCTTGTATCTTTTTTACAAAACCTCTCAGATCCTTGCATCGTTTACACATCAATCAATCAATCAATCAATCAGTCAATCAAACTTTATTCATATACCACTTAATCATGCAATACATGCAACACAAAGTGCTTAACAAATTAAAAAGGCCCCGCATATCCACATTCCCTCCCATCCACAGAATTTTAAAAACAGTCTGACAATAAAAACCCCTTCACAACACATCCTCCGGCACACACACACACGCACGCGCGCACGCACGCACGCACGCACGCACGCACACACACACACACACACACACACACACACACACACACACACACACACAAGGATAAGCATAAATAGTGCAAAAAAAAAGCAAACAAAATCTTTTTCTACCTTTAGTTTCTTTAGCTGGTCTTCAGTGTCAACTGTCAAGGATGGGTGCATGGACTGATAATGACGAACAAGGTTCTTAAATCTGAAAGGCAGTGAAAACCACATACATTATTTCTCCCCGGTGAATAAGTCTGACTCAACGGATCCGTTTTGCTGCTACCTAGTTGAGAAGTCACTGAAGTCACCCAGGAGGTCACAGACACGCAGACCAATTCGAGATGCTTTGCTGGAGTACGCAGGTCCAATGCCCTTCTTTGTTGTTCCAATGCTGCACAAATCAAACCACCTGATTAATGTCTGTGTGCAACTTCAGCCATTCTGAGTACTTCGTCTTACCTTTTTCCTTCTTGTGCTTGTCTTTCAGTTTCCTGTAAGCCATCAACGACTTGGTGGAAATCAAAAACTGTGAGATTGAAATATATTATTTACACCAAAAGTGATTCATGATTGGATTAAAGAAACTTCCTCAAAGAACGTTCATACCAATGTGAGCTCTGTCTGAAACAATCAGTCTCTTCTCCCAGCCTCTCAGACCTGATGACAGAATTAAAAGTTACATCAGCAAGAACACACTTCTCCATTAAAGCGTTTCACACTGAAAAATAACCTTTCTTCTCATTCTTATCTCCCTCTTCAAACAATCCAGGTAGATGTATGACCACTCCGTTACCTGGAAGAGCAAAGGAAAAGCAGTCAGGTGATTAAATGCCATTAATGGCGTCCTCTCGTGAAGCTTTGAATGCTTTACCGATGAGTGAAATGCTTTTGGTGTTGATGATTCCACTGGGGAGAAGGTGGAAATCATACTCTTTGCCATCCACGACCACTGTGTGTCCTGCATTGTTGCCTCCCTGCAGACCAAAGGGTAAATATTAACCATCAGCTCAGAAAGTACTGGACATGTATTGTTTCATTTTCACCAGAAGGTGACGAGACAGTTTGTCCTGCAGTCTGACAAGCAGCTCCAGCACTTAATTTAACAGACTTGGCCACTGGTGACCCTCCTGTCCCCCCTTACACCGGCTTGGCCTTCTCAAATATCAAGCCAGCTCGAGAATGTGACCTCTTCAGCCTGCAGGGCGGGGCTTTCAATCCGTTAGGACACAGGGTACCGGTCCTGTCAGTGGAAACAGCATAACACCCCAACTGTTGACAGGTTTCAGTGCCTGTCCCTGCGCAGGAGTGACCTCTGGAGAGTTGAGTGTCACGTGTACTTAGACAGACAGACATATCTAGCTTATTTCCTTTTTAAAAACGTTTTTAAGGGATTATTTTCGTCTTCAGATTTAATCAAACCAAATTTACGCACAACTCCCAACATCCAAACAGCAATTAATGGAGACATTTGGAACAGCCTGTTCTCTGAATTATCAACTGATCAATGAAATCAGTTGGAAAATGGCACATATTTTATTTTAAGCGATGTGGTTGGTAAGATAGCATGAATTCAAGAGTTCTCCTTCGGATACTTAAGTGTTGCGCTCTTCCACATATCCAAGCGGATCCAACATTTGGGAACAAAAATAGGCTAAAATAATGGAATCAAATGCAGACATTTACCTGACATCTGCAGACAATGTCAGCTTCAGTCGCCAGTAAGTCGACAACTTTCCCCTTTCCCTCATCTCCCCACTGCGCACCGAGCACCACCGTCACTCTGTTCCCCGCGTCATTGCGCGGCCGCTTCTGTCCCGCGGCGGCGGGTTGGTTCGTTATCTTTTGATCTTTGGACGACCAGCTGAGCGACATGACGGCGGCTGCTTTGGCTTCCCGTCTCAAGGAGACTAAGCTCCCCTCAAGAGAAGCATTGCCATATGTGTAACTCCAGAGCCGATGACGCACATGCACGCAGCGTTGCAGCGATCGCTGAGAAAAGGCTTCAGACAGGAAACTATGGAGGGAACCCCACGTTTTATATCATATTTTATTATTTTTTTATCCTGCATAATTGGACAGAAACAAGGAAAACAGTACAATTTTATTAAAATATACTCAACAGCAAAAGTTACAATCCATTAATAATCAGAATCTAAGAAATTAAGACACAAGAAGTTTTAAGTTAAATATTTGACACCAACACTTTTTTTTTGCTTGAGTCCTTTAGATTCACCAGAGTTTATAGCAAAAACATCATTTCACCTATTACAATTATACAAACATATAAATATATAAAGTACATTCATTTTTTTACACTTTTTTTTAGATCAGTTCACAAAAGAAACCCATTTACATTAAGTGACATTTTAACACCCACGCTGAGAAATCCAGCCCTTTCTGTAGAAGAGAACCTTCCAGAAACCTATTTTCATTAAAATTTCATGTCCAGTTCAGAACTCCTTTTGGAATTCAACATTTTTTTCCTCTTGATTTCTTTCTTCTGACATCACCTATAAAAGGCAAACAGACTGAAATGAATAGAGAATCAAACATATTTTAAAAAAACTTTAATAACTTTAAAAACACATTTACAGATAAAAATTGATAAATTAAAGGCACTTTTCAACTATCTGCTTTAGTGGTTAATAAATTAAATATCAGCATTCACTGAATGCAGGAACAACAAGCAAAGATTGCAGGAAGCACGAGACTGGGCAGATTGAGAGGATGGACAAGTAAATATGGACGGAGCGGACACAAAAGTGACAGCTTTCATGGCACAACTCGGTCCACAATGACCGTGCAGCTTCCTCCAGGGTTGATTAATATTAGCTTCAACACTGCAAAGTGTCAGCATGATAACCAATGAGTTTGAGGAAAGTTAAGAGCGAGCAAGTGTCAAGTTAGACGACACAGACAAATGAAATCCAGATTCCAGTTAGACCGACAGATGAGTTATTGGCACATAGCGCTGACGATGACGGAGTTCATCACGGTATTCCGGGTTTGGGATTTGCCACCCACCTACCTCACTGCAACACACAGCCTGTTTTATGTTTAGCATGTCCTTTCCCACTGTTACCTTGTGATTCAGAGAATCAGAAACAAGAGCATTCAAGCACATGGACCAATGTTAAATCCACTTTTACTACTAAATCTGCAACCCAATGGCTGCAGCATCAATAAAATACACACATTAAAACAGACAAATCATCAGATAAATTAGCTGCAATAGAAGCAAAATAAGTACAGATTTCCCTTTAAAGGACATCAAGAGACTAGCATTGCAAGCGTGATCTTTATTTAGGCGAATAGATAGATTACCTTGATTAGCCGTCTTTTTGCTTCGTTTAAAAAGCTTCGACTGTTTCTTTCGCATGGGCTCATTAGATTTTTCAGAAGCCGATGGCAGATTGTCGGGGTCCGGTCCATCTGGGACGTCACATCTACCGATTCTTTCATCGAACGCAACCACACAGACTTGAAGCTCTGAATGTTCCTCACTCAGAACTTCATCTCCACTACATGTTTTCACTATCTTGCATTCCTTCACTTCACTCATCCTTTGTTCCACGGCTTCTGATAAAAGGCTTTGTTCGTAACTAGTGTCCCCATCTTCAATTCCACTGCTTTCACTGCTCAGTTTCACGTTGTCCGACGCTCGGATGCGAGTGCTTCCGTTTCCATCTGCGGTCTCCTCAGGCGTCACCTTCTCCGATACGAGACCAGACGAGCCGTCCATCACATCCTCCAGCCGGCCTGAATCTGACAGCGATGATGGACTGAGGATGCTCGTCTCTGTCAAATCTAATGAAAAGCCATTTGTGGACAGACACGGTGGGACTTGGGCCTTAACGTGAGATAGTGGTGGAGGTGGACCATCCTGCAGCATCGTTGGCTCTTCTGGAGGGGTCTGCGTCGTTATGGCTGGCTCTCCTGTGGCGTTGTTTGGAGGCACAGCGGTCTGAGGAGCTGGGAGAGTCTGTTCTGAGGGGCTGGTGAAGCCGTTCACTCCGCCTGCTGCGGGTGGCTGGAGATCCTCTGTCAGAGGTTTGGTGGGAGAGGAGGTAATGGTCGCTTCTGCGTTTTTTTCGTCTGCAGCCTTCACACTTGAACCTGGAAGAGAGATGCAAAATGTACTTTTGGAGGTTCACGCAAATAAAAGGAGAAACAAGGCGAGAAAATAAAATGCTTGCAAGAAAGTGGTGCCCAAAAGGGGGGCTACAGGGAGGGGCATGGTCACTTCACTGACACGGCCCCCCCACATATTTGCAGTGGTTTAGTATAAATGAATGCCTCGTCAGCTGATCTGTGGGGAAGCAGCTCACGCTCCTGTTTCAGGAACTAAAATTTAGCCAGAGCCGAGTTGATGACGGCAGGTTTTGGAGTGTTTTTCCTGATATCTGACATCTCACCTCTGATTGGCTAACAGCAATACAACTACCATTGACTGTTTATTACACAAATAACAAACCTGAAGGAGTTCTGCCATGTTGTGGTGTTGCTAATGCTAACTGTTAGCTTTTGCTAGCTGAGATGTGGCCCATTCTTTCCTGGAGGCTACATCAACAGCCTTGCCCGTCTAACCAAGGTGAGCATGTCCATGAATGCTAATTTTCAAAGTGATGTAGACCTGAGTGGCTTTTCTAATCAGAGTTTCCCGTCCATCTTCCATTGGAAACTAATGCGGGAAATAGGGGTGGAAAACTTTTCACTCCGCCAGCATTTTACGTAAGATGGGTTTCTCAGTGAACCTGGTCTAAGTTTGTGGTAAATGTGTTTGATGCATATTGCTTTTTAATGAAAGAGGGAATGCAATGCATTGCCACAGGCTAAACACTCCCATTAGTGTGCACCCCAAAATATTCACTGACCCCCCCCCCCCCCCCCTTAAGCACCACTGTTGCCAGAAACTTTAAAAAAAGCTGCAGCAACAAAGCCAGATGGCGAGGAAGCACAAGCAACCAGGTTTGCAGTGGATCAGGGCTAGGAACAGCAGATGGAGACCACCATCTCTTTCCTTACCAGGTGGGCAGGCACCTCTACGCATTTCACTAGAAGGGAGGCTTTCCGAATCGCACCTTGGCCGGGTCTTTCTCAGGCTGAACCCTTTCCTGATATCTGCCAGCAGGTGATCAATGATGCAGCCGTCATTCGGGGGCATAATGCTTTTCGTGACTGAAACAAAGAATTTGAAACTTAAGACAAAACCTTATGTTTCACTTGAGATCTCCACTAAACAGCTTTCTACTTACTAATTTTTCCATTTTCCCCTTTCCGTCTCTTGGACTCATCTTCTGCCAGCTGCTTCTTTCTCTTCTCAGCCTTAGCAGCTTGTTCTTTCCTCATCTTGTTCTCCTTTCATCATGAAAGAAAAAATGTCACCATCAGTGCCAAAGCACAAAAGATTGAAGGCAGTTTGTCATTGTGTCAGTTGGGTGGAAAGCTGAACATCCGTCAGTGATTCTTCAGTCTATTGATACACATACTTCAAACAAAGCTCCACTCCCACAATTATTAGGCTGTCTCAACTGTGCTGCAAACTCAAGCAGGCGCTTAATAAAACAGCGTTTAGATCTTTAATTATAAGTTATCCTAAACTGACAAACGTCCTCCCTAACCTTCAGCGCCTTGATGAAAAGGTCTCGGAAAGTCCTGAAGGTTCCGAAGAGGTCTTCGAGCGACAGCTGATGAACGTCTTCGCATAAGTAGACAGCCAGATCTCCTCTCTTCGTCTCAATCTCAGTGAAGCGTTCACTTAAATCTTGACATGCTTTTATGTTTTCCTGTAGTCAAAGAGCAGTAAACGTTTAAGGATAACACCCAGCTGCTTGAAAAAAGCTGGACTCTACCAAATATATATTTTAAAAATAAAAAAGGGGCGTGCAATGCATTGCCACGGGCTAAACACTCCCATAGTTACTGTGCCAGTAGGGGCTGCATGACTTAACTTTTTTTAAAGTCGACAGTCAAGTAATGAAAATCGGGTCGACTAGTCGATGACGTCATACACCTGAAGCGGCCAGAGGTGGGGGGGTGGGGGTGGGGTTCGCTGGAGTTTTAAGATTAAAATTGCGCCCACATTTTCAAAGTTAAACATCTCTCTTTTAATGGTAGTTTCTGCATCTACACTGCTCCGCTTCAGCCCTCTCCCCCTTCCCCTGCGCAGCAGCCACAAACTCACTGATGCGCCTGCAGCCTCTCAGAGTTCCTGCTGCTCTAAACATTAAAATAATTATTTCATTTTCTGTTCCTCACTTCTGATTACCTTCAGTGTGTGTTTGTTGCAACCACCAGGTACAAAAACTAACTTGTTTTTATGTGACTATTTTTCTGTCCTGTCTCTGTTTATTATCTTCCTGCATCTCCTCTCAATCCTAAAGAAAAACTGCTACCTGGGTTCATATATATTCACCTTATGAGTTACCTTTGAACTGCAGTTCTAAAAGATCTACCGACCGCAAAAACAGCGGAGTGCTCGCTGCTCGCCGGCCACATCAGTGAGGTGCGTCACCGGAGGACAAAACAGGTGATGCGCCCCGCTCCACAGCAGCGAAACGCATCAGGCACAAATAAAAGACAGAAAACATAAAAGGAAATGAGCCGACATGAACGATCGCGTGTTAAATTAGTTTTTGAGGTGGTGACACCTGATTTGATAATGTTACTGTGGCCGTGCTCAGGACGCAGATGTCTGTGGAGTGTGTCAACGATCAGAGCTTTGCATGCGCAAGCTGATTAAGGTTAGGATGGGGGTGAGGGGAAGGTTAAATTGCAAGAGGGTAAAGGTCACAATTTGGTTAAATGTCTGTTTTACGGCGGGTGTCGGTACCGACGCTCTGGCACAGCGCGTAGCCTCCGCCTCCCGACGCGCAGGAGCTCGTCACCTGCTGTCTTTTCCGAGGACTGCATCTTGTCGGTCATTATCACGTGACAGCGACTAGTCGGTGACAGGCATAAAAAGTCACTACAGAGCAGTGAAGTGACTAGTCGACTAGTTCATACAACCCCTATGTGCCAGCCAAAAATATTCACTGTCCCCCATAAAAACTCGTCAGGTACAGAAACTTAAAAAAGCTGCAGCAACACAGCGAGATGGCGAGGAAGCACAAGCAACCCTAGAAGGCGGGTTTGCAGTGGATCAGGGACTCCATTTACATATTTAAAAAATAAAATAAAATTAATAACACCTTTACCTCAATAACTTTCACATACTGCTCCTTCACCTCATCCACAGAGTTGGAGACTTTCTTGGCAGCTGCATTCAGCTGTTTGAGCAAAGCACCCGTCTCGGCCTGAATCGAATCCAGATTAATTCTGAAAATAAAGTTAGAAGCTTGTTGTGCATTTCTCACAGATCTACCGAAAAAAAAAAAAAGCTCAAGTAGAAAAGATTCCACTACCCTGCTGCTTTTCCACATTTCTGTATCTCATCTGGCAGTGCCAACAGCTCTGGGTGGTTCACCTCTGCCTCCTTTGAAAACAAGTCACAGAATGAGTGATTAAGCTCGAAGATGGGATTAAAAAAAAGGTTATGGCAGCTGTCAGTCAATTTGCATACCTCCAGGATGTGATGAAGCAGTGTGATCCGACTCTTGTTGGCCTTCGTCTCCGTGAGCTTGAGCAGAGAGCTGATCTTGAACCCCTCTGCGTTCCCTGTGTGACTTCCCTGAAAAGCAGAGGAGTAATTTAAAATGCACGCCATTACTAAATGTCAGCTCAAATTCGAGAGGTTCTTACGTAATTGAGAAAATTTCCAACGTCAAGGATGAGTCTGCAGAAGCTCGGGACCAGAGTGCTCACCTTCAGAGCTGCAGGAAGTTTTTCAGCATGTTAGTTTAGCTGCCTGAGGCACGTTTCAACTAGTGATGCACATGTTTTTTACTTACACTGGCAGGCCTCCTCTACCAGCTTCACTTTAGGTTGGAGCATCTCCAACATGGATGCCGTCTCCTCACACAACAGCATACACTCAATTCTCAGCTGATAACTGAAGCAGGAGAGCAGGGTAAATGTGGATTAAATCAGAAGAGTTAAACACTGTTAAGCTGTTGCTTTCAATCTGGTTTCAGTGGTTCTTGAGCCATAAACTTGAGAAACCTTACATTTAACAGCGCTCTGCAGTCATCTGCTGACCAGAAACCAAACTTTAACCCATTCACTGCCATTGACGACTAAAGTCGTCATTTTAGATCCAACCGTTCGATCCAACCGTTCACTGCCAATTTGCATTTTTTTACTGTTTGAGCACCGGAACGAGCCCCCGCGCTGAGAGAACAAACATCTCAGCCCTGAAGCCGATCTTCATCCGCATACGTCACGGGATCAGGAAGCAGAACATCCATGTGTTAGATCGTTTTGGGCCGTTCCTGTAAAAAAAAGTGAGGTGCGAACCGGAAAAGCGTCTGTCGATCACAATTCAACAATGGACCATGAAAGAACGGATAACGCTCGAAACACGCAGATTCTTCCTGATCTAAGAGGTGAGTCTCCCCTTTGTTTTGGTCGTTTTGGCGTCGACATCATCCTAGCGTGCAACATTCTGTGACTCTTAAAAACAGTAAAAACGGTGAGAAACGCTGGCAGCGAAGGCCGTTAGCAATCAGGAAACGGCTGGCAGTGAATGAGTTCTACTGTTCAGTTCAGCCCCAGTGGAAAGATCTACCTGCTGTGCGTCAAGCCGTCTGCAGTGATGGTAGCACATATAACAACTTTCACTTTGTGGACTGTCAAAAAGCACAAAAATAACTTTTTGGCATCATGGTAGAGCCTGGAAGTAATAGTAATGTCTTTGGAGGTGAAGCAAAGAGCTAAAGACAGAGAACATTGGCTCGGCTTACACCAATTTATAGGGAGCTGAAAGAGGCTATGAAATCACAGACTGATAGTGACCTGGCCTTGTTGCTACTGAACTTGTAATATTTTGTTGTCCAACAGTGTAGATTTTTAATTTGTAACTTATTTAATATCAGATGGCTCACTTAAGCATTAGCTCATTAGCACTAGCAACAGCAGGCTGCTGCAGGGTTGTTATAATTCTGCTTTCAACTAATGGGGGAGAAACAGGAAACTTAAGTGTTGCTTTAAAGAGGGATTGCACACCATCAGATAATATAACTCCTCCCCTAGTAAAAATTTGAAAAGTGCTATGAAAGTGGGCGTTGCCAGGAGGCACGGAGGAGCAAGGCCAAGTGTGGGGAATCTCCAGGGAGCTCCATTTGGAATGGTATGTCAAAGGAAGATCCCGCCTTTCTCGCCTCTGATTGGCTATTGGATGTTATTTGTTTTAACTACACGCAACAACTTGTCGAAACACTGTAACCCCAGAAAACTAGATGTGTGCAAATGCATCAGGATGGATTTTTAGGAAATGTTCAAAACCCCCTCAAGATCAGGCTGTAAACCTAAAAATCCTGGAGCGAGGAAAAACTTTCCTCGAACAGCCAATAGTAAGAGAGCCCTTTCAGCCAATCAGAGGCGAGAAAGCCGGGACGTTCCTTGGACATCCTATGCTTCCAAATGACGCTTCCTGCGTGGGTGGGTGGGACCGGGAAGCGTAAACTGTACCAGTCCTAGTCAATCGCAACTTTCAAATGCAGTAGCCACAGTTGTGCCACACGGGGCAGCATTACGATTAGACCTAGATTCTAGATTTAATCAAGTTTACACCAACATGTCATAAAATGCGCAGAAAGAAATATTGCTTTTGGAGAGACCCAATTATCCAGTGTATAAGCAAAAAAGTCATCTTTGGGTTTAGTTACCCTTTAAATTATAAATAAGGTTGATAGTTACCAAGGCACAGTCAGCAGGGAGGTGTAAAAACGATCAACGTTTGCCAGCTTGTCTTTTTCTCCTTGGAAAGTTTTCAAATTCTCAATCTAATAAAAAAAAACGAAAGAAATGTTCAAAATGGTTTTAGACTCAGATGAGTGCAAAGACTTATGTTTGTGGCACAAACCTCATGTTTCTCTGGCAGGAGCTTAACAAGCTGTTTCAGCGCCTCAACATCAAACTTACTGCGATCTGCGTTTTGGATCATGGCTACAAACTCCTCATTTGTGCTGCACATAACGCCAAAGTTAGAGACTTATAAACAGGCAAACATTTGAGACTCCTAAAAATATTGCTTGTAGGAGCTCACCACTTGAACTGCTTAAGAAAGATGTTCATATTCAAGTTTTTCTTTGGATCAATGAATGTGATCTAAACAGAAGAAAAAGGGACACTAGTTAGAAAGTTTATTTTTATTTTAAATCCGTAGTGTTTGTTCTGCATCCTTTGAACAGTCCCACCTCTTTAGGCTCCTTCTTAGCAGGAGTAGTTGCCCCCTTGTCTTTGGGTTCAGTCACCGGGAGACAGAACAGCTGTTCGATACTGCTGTAGTTGGGCTCGCGGGGAGGCGGTTCTTTCTGAACCGTGGCCCACATGGACGGGCCATCTGTGTTCAAGGAGGGAAGAATATAACCTGATATGATCCAACAGGGTTTCATTTTGTAACTGAAATGAGCCACATCATCATGTTCACACTGTAAAGTAAAGATTCAAGTAGAAAGCCCTGTGCATCATTCTAGAGGCATTTTCATGCTTTCAGGTTTGACAGCGTGACAAGTTCAGCTATTTGCATCCAGATATGAACCAAAATGTAGGAGTCTGACACATTTGTGCGAAAACTGCAATTCATGTGAGAAATTAATGCCTGTAACTGACAGGTGGTTTTTGTTGCCAACTGTAAAGAGAAAAGTGCCAAATCAACTTAAATCCCTACTTTTATGTTCAAAAAAAAATATGGAACACATTCAATACATACGTACATCTGCAAGCTTTGCCGTTTGCTGGCTTGAGATTGAAAGTAAAAAATTTGCTACTAAAATATAAACTCTGTTCCTTTACTAAAAAACTGGCAGTTTGAGCTCAGATTTACAGATCCGCAAACTAAAAACAATTTGCTTTGAATGTCAAATTCAAAACATCCTTGCTGTTGTGTTCAGGATTTAATGCACAGCAAAACAATGGAAGTCCTACTTTGCATGTGCCCTTCACAAAATTTAATAACAGAACTTGATACAGAACACTAGGTTTCCCCTTTTGATAAAAAAGTAATATTCAGTAAAAATGAACGTCTGACCCTATTCTGTGATAAAATGTAGGAAATATGTCGATTTGTTTTTGCTAAGCCTGCCTCCCGTCTTATAGAGCCCCATGCAATTTGAACCGATTGCCACTCCGGATTAGCCAATAGCCTCAAGACACCTGCTTACGTAGAGATGTCAATCACACAAAATACAGATTTGACGACTGCCTGCTTCTGCTCAAAGGTAAAGAAAAGCCCACGGACCGTTTGCCCCCGACCGGCTTTAACGGTGCAACTTGGATGTTGAACAGTTGCAGAGTTGGCGCCATTTTTACAAACAAGGAAGTCAAATATATATGAATACATTGTAAAGCTGCATCATGGAAGCAGAGATGGGCTAAAATGTGTAATGCATTTTTCCACCTCTAGATGGTGCCCTCTGAGAAAAACTCCAGATTTCTGCTTTATATCTAGGACAGGGAATGAAGCGATCAATAGGATTACATATATCTGCTATTTGGGTGATGCATTAAATGTATTTTCATAAAATAATTTCGATAAACTAAAATCTGTGTATTTCACACTTGCCTGTAACGGATCGAAGTTTCTGCCAGTTGAGCTTCTTCATCTTCAAAGTGGGACATCTGCTTGGCGTTGGGGCATTGGCCCCCAGGGCCTGGCTGGTCTGCGCCACTATCAGGCCAGTAGGAGGTGGTAGAGGTGCACCCCCCATCCCCGATAATGGAGGTGGTGGAGGAGGCATTCCAGGCATTGGTGGAGGAGGTGGTGGTGGGGGACTGCCAAGCCCTCCAGGAAGAGGTGGTGGAGGAGGAGGAGGGGGTGGTGGGGGACTCCCAAGTCCTCCAGGAAGAGGTGGTGGAGGAGGAGGAGGGGGTGGTGGGGGACTCCCAAGTCCTCCAGGAAGAGGTGGTGGAGGAGGAGGAGGGGGTGGTGGGGGACTCCCAAGTCCTCCAGGAAGAGGTGGTGGAGGAGGAGGAGGGGGTGGTGGGGGACTCCCAAGTCCTCCAGATAGAAGAGGAGGAAGAGAAGGAGGAACACACAATGGCTTCTGAGATGTGACACGTGGCTCGTTTTTGCCATCCGTCTGAACGGCCTTGTCCATTTTCGCCACGAGCCCGTCTACCTCATGATGACCTACGCAGCTCCTCCGTTTGACAACCACCAGCCTCTGCATGATCTTCTCACTCGACTCCATCTGAGCTGGAGAAAGAAATCCACACAACACCCATAAACGTTTCCCCCCCATCAGCCTCCGGTGTTGCACTCAAATCTGTTTTCCTGGTTAATCGTTTCCCTTCATGCATTAATCACACCATTAGCCTCAGAGTGCTGCTCCGAGTGAATTTATCGTTGTGCTGCTGACTCACAGTCCTGGGCGAGGAGTATGGCTCTGTTAGTGACGGCCTCCAGAGCCAGCCAGATATCCGTGCGGCCTGGTCCGAGCACCAGCAACGTCTGCAGGATGGAGAGCAGCTGGAGGGAAGCTGGAGAGCTGCTCACCTATGTGCAACACCAGTTAGCATCACATCTGTCATCCATCTGCTTTAATCTCGGCATTTTTGCTCCCACCTTGTTGAAAAGTGCAGTAAAGACATCCAGGTGATTACTCATGTCTATTCCTCCATAGACTCTCAGCAGCTCTTCCTCATCCTCAGCCATCGCCTCTTCGAAGGCTTCGCATTGAATGATCAAATCTTCATCCTCCTGCTCCCTACGTACCAAACATTAACATAGAATTAAATAAAATCAACTTAGTTTGGATGTTAAAAGCAAAATAAGTTTGCCATTATGCATGGCAGTGATTTGCTTGGATAAACAAGGAATCTTTGATGACTCACCTCAATTTTGGGAGCATATCAAGTAGCTGCAGGCCTGCAGAATCATATGCAATAAATCACACTCCTAAAATTAATGATTTAAATAAGCTTTGCTTCAGAGAAAGTTTGTCTTAACAGAACAGTCGTTTAGTCGCCGGAGTAAGAAAGCTTCATGGATGTGTGAGAACATCACAGGTGAGTAATTGCAAAAGAGGTGTGGCCAATCAGGTGGCTGATTGCTTTTAGGTGCTGGGAACTGATCTGGGTTCAGCGAATTGTGAAGGAAGTAACAGTTTTATTAAAATGTGTATGAAGCAGATGGATTTCTTTTATATCAAAACAGTTTTTGTAAGCTTTTGTATTCAGATTTATCTCAAACATCCGATACAAATCTCCCTTGTTGAATTTAGCTCCATCAGTCGCAGGATGCTTACATTTCCTCTCCACAGAAATTTCTGTCAGCCTCTCTCTCTCCGGCGCCAAACCCACAAAAACACAAATGTCGCCACGTTTTGTTCTCAGGCATTGTGTCAAAGTGAGAATGAGGCCATTAGGCCTATTCTTAGCCAAGACCTAATGACAAAGAAATTTGTAACTGAGCCCCTGCTGTTGGCCTGCTATCATCTTTTGCCTTTAGTGTCAATTTATTAAGAAAATGCTCAAACGGACTCACCGATGAACTCCTTTCTCATCCTGTCTCTCTGTCTCAGCTCGTCTGTGCTGAAGATGAGTGCGTTGATGACACTCAGGAGTGTGACCATGTACGGGACATTATCCGTGGCCTGCAGCTCATTCATGATCACGCTGAAGCGATACTGCTGAGTCTTCAAGCCCTAAAGAGGGGGGGAAACCACAGATGTAACGTTTCTTCTGCATGAAAACCAACCCATAGATTTTCACCGTAATTATCTGCTTGCCTTATAATGATCCAGGGCGTCAAGAGCCAGGCAGTGACCTTCTGCAGAGAAGATGCTGAGGGCTGCCAGGAGCTCAAACACCTGCTTCTTCACCATGATGTTAGAGGTGTCCAGGGCTGTGGATTATTGAGGTCAAAGACATGAATACAGGTTCATGTCAATACTCATTATATTACCATGCTTTCGTTCTTTTTTAAACACAGAAACAGTTTTGTTTACCTGTTTTGTAGCTACAGTTTCGCCGACGGCTGCCGGCTTCTTCTGACCATCAGCGTCAGCCTGAAAAAGCCGGCAGCCGTCGGCGAAACTGTAGCTACAAAACAGGTAAACAAAACTGTTTCTGTGTTTAAAAAAGAACGAAAGCATGGAATTAGAACCACGACACAGTAAGAACACACCTAAGATACTCATTATATTAGCTGAACCTGCAGGGGGTGGGAAATTATGTTCTGCAATTTCCTGAAGCGATTCTCATCATACTGCCCGTGCACACGAGGAAAATCAGCTCAGCAGGATGAATCATAAAACTGCCTGATCAAGTGCATCGCCATGTAAAAAATGAGCTTATTTAGCTGTAAAAGCCCCAGTCGGCAGGTTCGGCTGGAGGTTTCTTCCTGTTAAAGACCAAGTTCACTAACAAAACGTCTTTTGTGATTTTTGAAATATGATCAGCCACTCTGAGTTTAACATGCAGGCAAATGTGAAAATAGTCTTGTACCCCTTTTTCTTGCATTAGCTGATGATGAATTAAAAAAAAAGACAGAGAAACGCTCATGTTAGGAAAGCCTGACATTAGCATGTCATAGTGTCAAATTAGCATTCATGGATTCACCTAGCCTAGTGAACTAGACCAAATTCTTGCTTTGCAAAGAATGGTCTAGGCATGCTCCATTGGAACCTCAGCAGCTCCTACCAGGACTCTGGCTAGCCAATCACAGCTCTCTAGAGGGGTTTCAAACACATAGAGCTGTGATTGGTCCATAATGGTGGGCCAATCATAGTGCTCTATCTGCTTAGTGAACAAATCACAGAGCTTTATCCGCTTTGTGGGCCAATCAGGGCACTCTATATGCCTGGTGGGTGGGATGATGCAACAGAGTGAAACAAGAGCACGTCACATTCATTGTCCAGTGGAATGTGGAGATCATTTGAAAGACAACGGTAGAACCCGCCCCACAACCGAGAGCCGTCAATGGAGCGTGGCCAGACTAAATAATACATTTATTTAGTCTGGCTTGCCAGGCTAGGATTCACCATCTTGGCTCATGAAGGGGAAGGCTGTTGTTGGTTTAGCATCCAGGAAACAGCAGAACACATCTTAGCTAGTAGAAGCTAACTGTTAGCACTAGCAACTCCACCACACGGCAGAAATTCTTCATGCTTGTGTTATTTGTGGAGATGAAACATCAACGTTGCAGAGCAAATGGAGGCACAGGAAGTGTTGAATTGCTGTTAGCCAATCAGAGGCCAGATTTCCGAATAACAGGAAATACGTCTCCAAAATCTGCAGTCTTTCCCACAGAGATCACCTCACTGCAAATGTGTTGAAAAAAAAAACCTAGTGAACTTGGTCTTTAAAGGGGCATTTTTTCCTCTCTCCACTGTTGCTACATGTTGGCGTTGCATCGGGATTGCTGTAAAGTCTCTGAAACAACAAGTCAGTGATTCCATGTAATCTGTTGGGTTTTCTTTCATTGGAAACATTTAATGGAATGCCCTCAGGGCACAGACAAGTAGGTTCAATTAGAAAGTCTCTTTTGTAAAGTACCTTGCGACTGCTCTAGTGAACTGGTGCTTTATTAAAAAAACTGGATTTAACTGAATTCAAGTATGAGCTTGTTTGCTGAAACGCCTGGCTCTTTTTTCCACACACATCAAAAACTTTAGCCGACCTTTCGACAGCTTCCGGATGTATCCCTCATTCTCTATGATGAAGTGGATCCCTGCCGACGAGTTCATCACTGCACGGACGCAGCTGACACACGTGAGCTGCAGCAACGCGTCCGCGATGCGAGAGCATCCCCGGCCCGAGAGCCGGTCCAGAGCCTCCAGGAGGAGATCCAGCCCGCTCAGCTCCAGGAACTGCACCATCCACGTCTGGTCGCTGCCTTCCAGGCGACGCTTCAGCCCGGAGTAGTTCACTACGGTGGGGACCTGCAGCAGTCTGATGCACAGCTCTGGATCAGCGCTCTCCAGATTGGCCTCTTGCTGCGTGTCGGAGTCCTGAGAGGAGCCCAGGCGATCCCTGACCGCAGCCCATTTGTTTTTCCCATCTCTTATCGACATGTTTGTTAAAGCTGGAAGAGAAATCGATAAAACATGTTGATGTTTCTTCTTTTAAAAAGACGAAAATTTGACTCTTGGACAGCATTTGGTGCCTGTTAGGGAGCGATATCCAATAATCTTGTCCAGTATGTAAACAGTGGAGTCACTGCTGTGTAAAACTAGAGGAAGCAGGCCAACAAATGGCTTTATCAGAAGAAATAAAGAATAGGAAGTGACCAGTCGGCAGTTTGAGTAAAAGATATGTCAGCAGTCCAGTCATCAGCTGCTCTGGCTCACAATCCAACCTAAGCTCAGAGGCAAAAGCCTCACACACAAAGCCAGACCCAGCTTTTGTCTGATGCGCCACATGCCCGGCTCCCTGGATTCAAATTTCTGAGGTTTTCTTTATGATCTTTCCTAACTGGAGACACAAACGAACACAAACTTTCATTCTAATTTAACTTAACCCCCGGGTTTATTAAAACTGCAGATAAAATGTGAAATTGTCTCAGTTTAGTCACACAATGTCCTAACTTGTGTTTAGATTAAATTTGTTTGTCTCTAATCAGTCACTATTTAGGCTAATTTGTCTCCAACTTGTCCCAAAGTCGTCTCCTCACACATCTGAGTCTGCACGAAGGGTCCAGATCCTCATGACGACTGAGAAAATATCTTGAGACAAAATTTGTCCCACAAAATTTTTGAAGAAGCCCACCCCACAACTCAGGCAAGGAATTTTATAATTGCTATAAATTACTATTATCATTATTATTAGAACTAATAAAAGCTTTTTTAAATAGTAAAAAACTGTTTTTTTCATAGGTTTTTTTGTGTAAATAAATCCTAATTACCAACGCAAAGAAACTTTGTGTTAAATGGGGCGGCGGTGGCTCACGGATTAGGAATTTGGTTTGAGTCCTCTGATTCAGAAAGGCGCTCATGTATTAGTTATTATTTGACTGTAAATCTGTGTTTATGCTTATTTAACAAGGTATGCATGTGGAAACTCAGTAAATAAACACACACGTGCAGAAACACAGAACGATTTCATGTGCAGACATAAACAGAGTCATTGACGTCATACGGCTGGACTCTTCTGGCTCTTCCTCAGAGCACGGTCGCCCTCCTATAAACCTTAGAAATGTGTGCTCTGCTACGTAAGCAAGCAGGACACATTCCCACACTAATAAATGTAAACCGTAGGAATTCCAGCTCAAATACAAGAATAGAATGATGTAATTCAAGACTTTACCAGTTTTCTTGGGTTTTTTTGTTTCTGTGTGAATGAATATTTCTCCTGTTGTTCACCTTTGGAATGAACAGCATGCACAAATGAGGCACTTAGTAATATTTGTGGAAAATGCAACACTCAAAGGTCGTGGGCGTGAATCAGACTGAATGTATTTTATTTGGTATTAGTGCAACAGTTGCTGTATGCACAGCCTGCAAGTTGCCTGGATGAGACACTTCTTCTCAAAGCATTTGGAAAAGAACAGAAGTACCGACTTGTGAAAAATCTGACAAATTAGATTTTAGTTCACAGCGTGGAGTCAAGGTAAAAAAAAAAAATCAGGATTTTATTCTCTCACATTTTCTGGCGAGGCACTTGTCATTTCTGTCTGCAACGTTCTCGTCCTGCTGCCAGTGTGAGAGTGTTACCGTGGCAGCGAGCAGTCAGACAATGGTGTTTTTACAAAAGGCCTTCTCAATAGCCTTCAGAGCTGCGCTTGTTTGGCATACAAGGGATGGAATGCTCCCTGCCCCTGCCCCCCCCCCCCCCCCCCCTTCAGGCTAATAAGACTGAGGCTACTTCCAACACACTGATTCTCCAGTACATCGTGCTTTCGTGTTCATTGCAAGCCAAGGAACAAAAGTTGTAAGTTCACGCCTGGAACTGGAGATTTTTCACAGCTTGGGGTTCATCAAAATGCACTGAGAGTTTTTGTTGGATGGATTTCATTTCTAGAAAAGTCAAATTTACGACTGGGACGCTTCTGGAGTGAGACTGAGCCGAGAGCATGGGTAGGGAAGTTTGACAAAGGGAAGGAAAGGACTTTCCCAGAACAGGAAACTTGACAAACAGCCCAGTCTGACAGTGGGATTTCCGCTTATGAAATACCACCATCTTTTACTTTAAGGAATGAAAAAGTAGAGTCTTTTCAGTTCTGCAGCCTAAACCTGCGTTTTACTTCAGTGGCTGACCTTGTCTGCAAGAGCTCCCACATGTTCTGCTAATAGCAAGCTGATTCACAGCTCGCAGGACAAGCCCACTCATCTCCTCTGGTTGCACCGCCCACCCACACAGCAGCAGCCCACTGCTACAGTACAGCACCAACACTCCTGAATGTGCAGAAACATCTCCTCGGATTCATTTCCCCTGAGGCATATGCTGCATATTGTAATTATGTTTTGCATATTATCACCAGTAGAATTTTTTCAGATCTCACACAAGTTAACACGTTTTTTGCAAAGACATTTTGCACTAAAATGATGATTTAACTGTTTATGTCTTACTGCTGACTGAGCATGTAAATTAATTGACATCTGGTGCTCCTCCTAAAACATTCCCCTCCCTTTTATTTTGTTAAAGGGAGTGTCTGTTAAGTCTGCAAGCACATTTTTAGTTAAACTATTTTGGAACAGGGTGATTTTGGTTTCTTTTCTCCCTATTTTCTGACTGGTGATGTTTCCAGACGCTGGTGGAACATGAGCACATTTTTAAATACGTGTCACCGCAAAGTGTCCAAATAGCCCCCAGGCAGTAGATTTGGGACTAAAATATTTAATTTCTCCCACGTTTTTCCTTTTATTCTGTCCAAGTGAGACAGGTGACAGTTTATTGGAGCCTAAATAGATCGACAGGACTAAGTCGTTGATCCAGCCTGCATCAGGCACCGGGACATTATAGGAGACGTGAAATAGCGGATTTTTTAAATATGAGGCACCGCTGGTTTTGCGCTGCGGATTTTCTGCATAACGGGAGATAAAACACGCTGTTGCATCACTGTTATGAATCACAAGCTGAATCCATACCTGGTTTTATTCCATAGATACAGAAGAATCGCGTCCTTCCTCAGACCCCCATGCAGAGGACCACTCGGTCTTCCAGATGTTTGTCCGCCTCAGAAGGATGATGACATCCGGTGATCTGGTCAGGAATTCGGGCGGCAGCATCTAACATCCACCGCCCCAGAGCTTTTAATCACTTGTGAAGACCATTGGTGAAGACCGATGGTGAAGACCAACGGGATGACAAAAGCTGCATCACTACTCTTCAATATCCGGTTACACCTTTCAAAATAAAAGGAGGATGGCTAAACCAATTTAAAGCTTTTTTTTTCTCCTGTTAAATGTGGTTTAAGATTGTTTCTATTATTTATCTTCGGTACCCAGAATTCCTGCATTGCCCTCCTCAAAAGCGATACTCGCTTATCAAGTAAAGATTCAAATCAAACCAGTTTTAGCTTCAGGGTGTCGCATTGGAAAACGGCATTTAGGGAAAAATCCCTCCAAGCTCCACAAACCTTTCTGACACATACGACTGTTTCTGCACCTGTGTGTGCATAATGTTGCAGAATTTTAAATGTACCTGCTTTATCTTTGTTTTATTCTCAGTACATTTATTTTTGTGTCTCTCATTTTGACGTGTTTTTGTCAAACACATCGTGTGTGTGTCATATTAATAGACTCACAGCATTTACTGCATTGATAAGGCTTTCTAATTCAGTTTTTTATTGTTTGTGTTCAAAGTAATGACAGAAATGGTGCAGCAGCTAGTGTTGAATAGACATTCGTACGCAGAACTGTGGATTTTCATTCCACCCCTGGAGAAAATAAACTATTTATCATAAACATGTGCACTTCTGAGTTTCTTTTACTTTTCCCCCAAATGTACTCTGCTCCAAACAAGAAAAATTAATTTCACCCAAAAAAGTTTCCTCACCAGTAAACAAACAAACAAACAAACAAACAAACAAACAAACAAATAAATAAATAAATAAACAAACAAACAAATAAATAAATAAACAAATAAATAAATAAGCTAGGATTTATCAACATTACTCTAACATAAACATATTGAAACAAAATATATGCTTAATTTTCCCTAACAGAGCAGCTAATGGCTGAAATAAAAAACATATTTTCAGTTTTAGTCTAATAAACCGGTGTCGGGTTTCCCTGTAAAGTTCGTTCAGGCTTTTGTTTTGAAAGGAAGGCTGGATGATTTCCGGTCCTGACGTGTCTGTAGTTGTGTAACTTCAAGCTGTTTCTGTGATGCTGAGTTGATCCAGGAGCTGAGCCCTCCTCCTGCCACATAAACCATCCCATCATCTAGACAGGAGTTCCCAAATTCCCCCAAACCCTGAAAGCAGAGACAGTCCGATTATAATCTGAGTTTCAAACCTGGTTATTTTCAGACAACGTGTCCAGACTTTAGCTAGACTGACAGCTCATAATATAATGAACAAGAAGTAATCTGCATGTGGGTCATTTAGAAAAAATACACATTTTTTTTTATTAATTTAAAGCGTTTACTTTGATTTAATGTGTTAGATACACAAAAACACGGTCATTGACACAATTTAATGAACTCTCTGATTTATTTCTTTACAGCTTTAGGAATGCTTTTGCTAGAGTAGCCTCAGGCTTTTGTTATCTTTAATCTTTTCAGTGAGAAACGTGTGTTGAGGAGGTAGTTCGAACTATTTAACTTGGAGGAATTTCACCGTCTCAGAAAAACACAAAAACAATCTCTGAATCTGAGCTTCTTTAGAAAACAAGGACATCAACACACAACCAAAGGGTTTAGTCACCAAAATAATAATAAAAAAGTTTCCAACCACAGGGTGGAGTGAGAAACCAAAAGCAAAATAGAAACAAAAACACTTGAGCATGCCACAGCTCCAGGCTTTTCCAGAGAAAATAATGCTCACTCATGAGAACGCCATATTTAAACAGACCACTGAGTAAATATTATGAACTCATTATAAACACTAACTGAGCTTGAAGAACAGGATCATGAAACACAGCAGCTATAATCACGTAATCATCAAAGTCAACATCTTTGTTTAGTGCCCTTTTAATGCTGTGAAAGTGCACGGCCAAAATATTTATGGACATAAACTGGCCCTCAACCTCTGGATGCATCTGCAAAACCTTCTTTGGGTAAGTTAGAGGATTCACTAAACTTCCCTTTATTGTGCTTATTGGAGAAATCCTGGAAAAACCAGAAGACCAAGAATAAAAAACAAAACTTTAGAAAATAAAAGCTTTTTCCAGACAAAACACCGACTTTTTGAGATGCAGATCAGCAAAAACTAGAATATGGTGCAAAAAAGTTCATTTATTTCAGTAATCCAGTTTAGACCGAGAGACCATCTAAAGGCCCAGGAACCCTTTGCAGGTGTTCTGGATTCATTAGCTGATAAAAGTGTGACACCTAGAGCGTGAACCTTTTCACAACATTCTGTCTGAGATTTTGAATTTTGGGCTGTAATCCAAATTATAACAAATGAAGACTTAAAATATCTGGACTTGCATGTAACGAGTCTACCTCATGTATTAGTTTCACCTTTAAATGAAATTACTGAAATAATTGAATGAGGTTCAATTTTGTTGAATTTTGCCAGTAACTTGCAGTAAAACCAACATTTCATTTCTTTATTGCAAAACAGCAATTATCAATGTAAACCATCAAACATTCACAAACTTACAAAAATATTTACCAATGCCTTTATTATTTCTTTATTTTGAGAAAAAGTCTTTGCTGTTCAGATTTTTACCTTTTATGATCATCAAATCAAGAAGGATGTAAACATTTAAAATTGACACTTTTAAATGGATTGATCTATGTGTTGATAAAAAGGTTTTCTATGTTTTGGTAAATAAAACAGCTAATTACAAACACTGGTTGAATGTGCTGCCAAAAGAACATTAATGATGAAATGCATCTTTGCTCTTTGCTTGTGCCGTCATTCTACTGCAGATTTACTGCTGGGATTATTGTTTTCTTGTGTGACACAATTAGGACCAAACCTCCTCTGTTTGACAGATGGTTTTACTCTGGAAGGCATTTGGTTGACTCTAAGGTATGCAGGCCCTGCTGCTTTAAACCAACCATAAACCACAGGGGTGGTTTACAGTTGATAAAAAGTGATGCATAATTTCCATCACTTACAAACAACCTGTTCAGTCTATTGAACTGTTGTAGCAAAGATGTAACGTCTTTATGAAATTTCCTCTTTTGAATAATCCTACTGACTATAGAATGATGAGCCCCAAATTATTAAAAAAAGTAATTATTTCATAAATGTCAGTCTGATAAACCACTAAATCTAACCTAAAACAATTTAGTTTTGCCTAATGAACACAAAACACCTGTGTATATATTTTTGAGAAAATAACATTAAAATTATAGCTGTATGGTTTTATTTAAAAGTTAGAGACTCAAACCAACAAACCGAGATAATCAATTATCAAAGCAACAAAAAGCCAGACACAGAGATACAGCGAACAACCACATTTCCCAGCAAGCATAGCACTTCCGGGTTGAAAGGTTGTAAACGTCAAACAAACTCGTGCTGCCCCAAATAAGCTGCAGCAAACACAAATAACCCTAACGCTGCCCGCTGTTAAACACTGTAAACAACCGTATCTATCCCCTCCTTTTATATTTGATGTTAAAGTAGTTTGTGTTTAACAAAATGTCTGGGAAAGCTAAGGAAATCTTACAGATGGACCTCTATGGTTTACTCGGTATTGAAAATACTGCTACATCTAAAGAGGTACGTAAGTGAATGATAAATAAACAAATACCAGCTTTGCCTCAGGCTGTTAGCAGATCGTTAGACACTGTTGGAAAATGTTTATTCTATTTTTTATTCAGTGGGCGAGGAAAAAGGCTGTTTAATATAAAGGCTTTTTGTTTTTAGCAGAATGCTAGCAGTATGTTAGCATGCTGCTTGTATTCCCATTTTCTTTCCGTCTGTGCTTATAATTTACCGTAAACATGGTGCGTGTTATCACTCAGAGCAAACGTGATGCATATAGGTCCAATACCTGATGGGTAAGAATCGATATGATAGAAACAAAGGACACAAAACAGACAAACTAGCTAAAGGCTAAAATTCGCATTGTTGTAGTACCACAGAATGGACACGAGATGGCGATGTTGCACCAGTGAGCTCCTTGTGTGCGACTCAAACGTCCCCATGACGTTTAAAAACAGTGAATGTTAAACAGCACAGATGTATATAAATCAACACGCTTAGTCTTATTTTGATTTATCTTATTTAAGCTTGGAGGAGCAGATGAGTATTTTCTAAAGATGACCCTCATCTGCAAAAATAGCAGAAGTCAAATTTCACTTCTGATTCTCAGGTCATTGCAAACCACCCTTCTTCATTCCCTCTCTTTTTTTTACTCCCAGCCTTAAGCGGTTAATCATGTTGTTCTGAATCCTGCCTTTTTCCTCCGACCACCTCTCTATCAAAAATCCACTGGCCTGAAGGGATATTAAAATCCCTGCCAAAACAAGGGAGGAAGTTAATTTCTTAATTAGATTTCAAAGTGTTCTCCTCCCAAGAGGGTTATCCCTGAGGAAGTCGGCGGTTGTGGCTTGGGCTGAGCTGAAGCACCAGAACTGAGAGGGCTGCTGCTGAAAGGTCTGCTGATGGCTGAGAGAGATAGTGGATTTGTCTCTTTGTGCCTTACATTAAATCAGCAGGGCTTAAGAAAAGAAATCAATCAAATCTGTGAGAAATATCATCAGATGGTCAAATTATCCCATTTGTTTGGTTCACATCTTCAAACATGCTGTTAATCACTGAGAAAAGGAGGAAACTCATCCCATGGCCAGTTAATGTGGGTTCAGTCACATCAACTTCTACGTAAATGCAGTGTTTTACAGCTTTGGTGTAGGGACTTTTGCTTCTGTGTATGTCCTCTGGAGCTTTTCTATTATCACTAATGCTGTTCTTGATAGGAATTCAGGCGTGTCAGAGATTTTGAGTTAACGACTGAAAGTGGATTGCCATCGGAGTTGTACCTACCACAGATTGCTCGGTGAAATGCTGTCTAAGACCACACAAGCTCTCACTTGGTTTATTCAGCTATTACTAGTGTGGCTGTTTTCAGTAAAAACTCGCTGGTTTCTTCAGACAACGTTCACAAATACAGAGTTGTAGCTTAGTGCAAACACACAGTTCTCAATATCTGATGATCGTTTTTGGTTTGAGCCGCGATACTAAGATTGTTTCATCCACCAGTGAGGCCGTCTTTCAATTTGAAACAACTTTATCGACAGATCTACGTTAGATTCAAATATCAAAACTGACAGACAAGTCTATGTTAAAGGCCTTTTAATAACTAATAACCCTTTTTGCAGCATTTCACTATTTATATAATAACACATTTTCTATTCCTCCTTTCATTTGTTTTCATCTTTTCTCTTATATTTTTGTCATTCATCCCTCTCCTTGCTGCTGTCCTCGACTCCTGTCTTCATATTTTCTTTATTCTGCTGATAATGATGGAGGATGTGCAGAGATCAGGCAACTTATCAGCCTCACTGGTGGGAAGCTCTGCTGTAACTGTATTAGATAGCTTTTAATGCCTTGTTTGTATGATGTTGTTTCCTGGCATGTTTACACTACTGTACATTGTGCATATTGTGCTGAATCTTGGTTGGAAAGAAATCGTGAACTGAGATGAAATAGAAATTTACACCAGAATTATTGCAATTCACAATCTTTTAGCCCTGCCTTGTTTAGCTGTAATTTAAAACAAAGTAATGCAATTAAGATAAAGTGTTTACGATGTTTAAGAGCGGTCTGAGATGGTTATCCCGTCATGGTTCATGGAGGTTCATGGAAGTCGTATAACTGTTGCTCTTGTGCAGCGGGAACAAAGCCTGAACTGTCATGGAGATTTATTTAAAATGTTTTAAAGGCAGCATCTTAACGGATCTTAGTAATTTTAGTTATCTGAATGTGTATTTAGATTTTCCCCTCCGTAAAATCAACTCAGTCAGCTGTTAAGATAACATCAAATCTTGTAATTCCAGCAAAAATGTGCAGTTGCTCCGCAGACTTGAAAAAAGGTGATCCCACGTTCTGTGAGGCTGGTTTAGGTTGAGGGAATAGATGTGGAAAGTTGGTTTCTGTTGCGGACTGGTCAGAACATCTTTGTCAGTGTTTGTGTTCGGGATGAGCTCCAGTGTGTCAGGAATGTGCGCTGCGGCAAATTCCTTGTGATGCATATATATGAGCTGTTGTTCTGGTTGCGTGCAAAAGGCTTCAGCGCTGCTTCATCCTGCAGCCCCCCCCCCCCCCCCCCCCTGGTCTTTATGGAAACGTCTTCCTGCTTCCTTTTCTTTCACCCGCGAAGCAGACAGCTAATGAAAACCACCTTGTCATTAACTGGTTTGCAGAAGGACCAGTTAATGTGTCAAGAATTGACCCAGAGTTAAGAACAAATATCAAACCAGTGTTCCAGCGTTCTGGTCGATTTCACCACCATGGCTCCCTAAACCACACACAGGTGTTGATTACCAGGCGGAGATCTTAATGACGCTTGTCTGTGTTTATTATTTTATTGTTTAGAAATAAAGACAGGTACTGGTTTGCAACTCTAATGGCCGCACTTGTCTGACTAGCTGACACGGGGGAGTCTGGATGATCGGTGTAGTTCACGCCAAAGTGATTGATGTGAAAATTTGGTTTTAAAAAATACAAATTAAGACATAAAAAAACTGTTTCTGATTATTTAGATACTAATATTAATGTGACTTTAGTTAGCTGTGACAGGTGAGAATGGTTTAAGAGAACCATTTTGAAGTTATGTTTGCAATCGGCTTAAAAACTGTTTTTTTTTTACAGATATCTGATATACCACTGTAGTATAACTATTAACTTCCGATACCGATAGAAACCGATACCAATAAATGTTGGGTCCCCCTCAACAAAATAAAGAAAAACTAAATCATTTTGGATAACTAACATTATCTCCTGTCATGCATATTTAATCTGACAAGTACCTACGTTTAAATTAGGCCAGTTGTACCTAAAAACACAAATATCTCAAATAATTAACCTCAGGTCATACTTTACACTGAAGAGTTTGGTGTATAATAATAAGCACAGTTTGTAAAGAGTGTCACTAAATGAGTAAATATCGATACCAATGATTTCTGAGTGATGCCAATATTGACCGATGCTGTCGGACCCCCGACTGTGCTAACGTTTGTATTTGCTGCTCTCCTTCCAGATTAAGAAAGCCTACAGGCAGAAGGCTTTGACGTGCCATCCAGACAAGAACCCCGACAACCCAAAAGCAGGTTAGTGAGTTAATTTTATTTTCCTTCGTCTGAATTCTGGCTCACAGAGCTGTCACTGTTCTGAACAATATGTTTTAATCACCTGACGGGTCTACGTGTGGCTGTTCTAGAGCTGGACTTGACTGATTTTAATGCTACCTGACAGCCTACCCTCTGCACCGCATCACTTAGCCAGTGGCGGGCGGTGCGTTCCACCCCTGGGCCTTCAGTGATTTCCTATTCAGTCCAGTCTAATTTAATAGACCTTAAAATACCATCAATAGGACATCACAGCTGGATAAACCACACACACACACACACACACACACACACACACACACACACACACACACACACACACACACACACCCCCCCCAGTGGCTGGTCAAGACACATAACTTCCAGAGTCTTTAAAATCAAACTCGCATTCCCAGTTGAGAGTAGGAAGCTGACCACGGATACCGTCAAATCTCAGAAATGAAAGACGGTTTAAGAGATGAGACAATAAAATAAATAAGTAACGCAAACACATTATTTGCATTTGTTTTGGAGAAAATTGTACCGCGAAACAATTAAACATGTTGGCGCAGCTGCACTCACCACGTTATACACAATATAAATTGTATAGAAACAGAACACAGAATAATTTCATTTTGCCATTTTATTTCGTCACCATTTATTGATTATTAACAAAATAAAATGACAAAACATTAAAAAAAATACTAATAAAATGTTTCTACTCACCAACATAAATGTCCAGCATGGATCTCCTCCTCTCCTGCTCATTAGAAAATAAAATCCATCCTTCTTTCTTTCCTCAGGAAAACCTCAATGGCTCTGTACAGTTTATCTGTGCGCTTCAGGTCCATGAGTAGGTCCTTTTCTACGGACATGGAGGCTAATGCTGAAAGACGTGTCTGTCCGGTCGTGTTTCTGGCGTACGTTTTAACGCGCTTTAATGCTACCAAATCCATCTGATGCCAGCAACGGGCGTTCCCAGCAGAATAACCTGCAGCGGTTCTCTGAAGCTGTTAGCCGTGGGTACCGTTCATAGTTGCTTGCCTGAAAATGACGAACAAATCCTTTCCCCTGCTGGGACAAGCCAGCTAGCATTGGAGTCGGACGACCTGTTCTCACAAGATCCATTTTTTCTTGAAAGGTCCGTCTGGAAAATGGTGTGGCAAGTAAATCTGCCACCAAGTCTGTCTCTTCTCCTCTTTCAGCCATCATGTGTTCAAAAACACACCGATAGCTGCCTATAGATACAAATCTCTGTGTTTAGTTTTGATATTTTTGCTTCATGCCGCTAGAAAAGTTCTAACTACTGCTTATCCAATCACAGGATGCGTTCATGTCAACTTTTGCGTGAGGCCAGCTAGCTGGCCTGGGCCAAGCTGACTCGTGAGCTGATTGGCTATCGCAACTGGCTCGTCTCTGTTCACTTACAGCGGACAGTGGGCTTCTCGATTGATTCTGAAGGCCTAGGGCAGACTTAATCTGCCTGAAAACACAAGCTAGCTTAAATCTGATTGGATAACACCCAGCCTTGGTATTTTAACACTGGAAGCAGCACAGCCAAGTGGGTATAATAGGATATAAAGAAAATAGACCAGTAAACTTTTTTTTTATTTAAAAATAATTACCAAAGGAAAAAAAATACATTTACGCTTTTGAGTATGTTTAGGCCAGCAGAGAAGGCTTTGCTGGCCCTGACTGCCCACCACTGCACTTAGCTAACCAGGGTTTCCAACCAGACTTGACCGTTTCCACAGTCCGTCCACCTCAGGTTCTCCATTTGATCGGTCGTCTGTTGCCAGGCAGAATGTCAACAGTTAGAACATTTCAACGTAGCTTTTTGCTAATATGAGGGGGCGAGAAGCACCGTCACAAAGCCTCGGGTGCTTTGGAGGGAAGTTCCTGCTGTTCCTGCATGGCCCAGACAATTCCTGATTGTTACAGGAGAAACAAAAACCAAAACAACGGAAGTCGACAGAGTTTGGGGGTTGAGAAGGATAATGCAAAAGCAGAGGTCGGTTTCCCAGAAATAGAAAAGAAGTGGTTTGGAGGGCCTCAACACTTCAACCCACACACAGACTTGGCCGACTAACTCACAAAAGCAGAGCAGATTTGCAGGACTTGGTGCTCCCTAGATGAAGGTTGCACGCATGTAAGAGGTGACTTAGGGGTTAGGATTCCTCACTGATTGAAAGTCCCCCTTAAACCAACTATGTTGTCTCACTCTGGGCTGATATTTGGACCTAACGGGTCCCTCACAGACCCCTCAGTTGGATTTCATTCTATTATAGCTCATTAAATCCACGGAGGTAACCTGACCGTCCCTGCTGGCAGCGAGATCTCCAGAGCCTTCTGTTTCTGTGTACTGCCAGTCCCCACCGGGAGTAACCGTACCAGTTCTTTAGGCCTCGCATAAGTGAATGATTACGCTTGGCAAGGATGGTGCAGCGATGTGCTGTAGGATGAGCTGGGGGAACGTGGTGTGTGTGTGTGTGTGTGTGTGTGTGTGCAAGAGAGAGTTGGCTGACAGCTAGGTTAGCAGTAAATGGAAGATGGATGAGGAGAGGTCAAAGCAATTCATCGTTTGTCGTTGGGGGAACAGTTTTGGTACAACGAAGGACAAAAATCTCTTTTTAAATGTGTCCAATACGGTGTTATAATTGCAAAGTCTTTTTTCGCTTTTATTTTGAAAGGGTATGTGTACCTTTGTGATTCAGAATGTTCAGCATCTTTCATCTCCTTTCAGCGGAGCTCTTCCACCAGTTGTCCCAGGCTCTCGAGGTGCTCACTGATGCTGCTGCAAAAGTGAGACTGAAATCTATTTTCACCCGCAAAAGGGATCTGCAGTCAGGGCCATAAATATTGGGACATCGACACAGTGCTAACATATTTGGCTCTATACACCACCACAATGGATATCAAATGAAACAAACAAGACGTGCTTTAACTGCAGACTGTCAGCTTTTATTTCAGGGTATTTACATCAGAATCAGGTGAACGGTGTAGGAATTACAACAGTTTGCATATGTGCCTCCCACTTGTTAAGGGACCAAAAGTAATGGGACAGAATAAGAACCATAAATCAAACTCATACATTTCAATACTTGGTTGCAAATCCTTTGCAGTCAATTACAGCCTGAAGTCTGGAACACGTAGACATCACCAGACGTTGGGTTTCATCCCTGGTGATGCTCTGCCAGGCCTCTACTGCAACAGTCTTCAGCTCCTGCTTGTTCCTGGGGCTTTTTCCCTTCAGCTTTGTCTTCAGCAAGTGAAATGCACGCTCAATCGGATTCAGGTCAGGTGACTGACTTGGCCAGTGCAAAACAGCCCACTTCTTTCCCTTCAAAAACTCTTTGGTTGCTTTTGCAGTATGCTTTGGGTCATTGTCCATCTGCACTGTGAAGCGCCGTCCAATGAGTTCTGAGGCATTTGGCTGAATGTGAGCAGATAATATATCCCGAAACACTTCAGAATTCATCGTGCTGCTTTTGTCAGCGGTCACCTCATCAATGAATACAAGAGAACCAGTTCCACTGGCAGCCATACACGCCCACACCATGACACTTTTTATGTTTATGTTTATATTTATTTGGCAGACGCTTTTATCCAAAGCGACTTACAATTTATAACCTATAGGGCATGTTGTGATCTGTGGGGGAAACCGGAGTACCCGGAGGAAACCCACGCATGCATGGGGAGAACACGCAACTCCACGCAGAAAGGCCACAGCCGAGTTTCGAACCTGCAACCTTCGTGCTGCGAGGCAACAGTGCTAACCACTGCGCCACCATGCAGCCCACTGCACCATGCTTCACTGATGAGGTGGCATGCTTCGGATCATGAACAGTTCCTTTCCGTCGCCATGCTCTTCCCTTCCCATCACTCTGGTACAAGTTGATCTTGGTCTCATCTGTCTGTAGGATGTTGTTCCAGAACTGTGAAGGCTTTTTTAGATGTTGTTTGGCAAACTCTAATCTGGCCTTCCTGTTTTGGGGCTCACCAATGGTTTACATCTTGTGGTGAACCCTCTGTATTCACACTGGTGGAGTCTTCTCTTGGTTGCTGACTTTGACACAGATACACCTTCCTCCTGGAGAGTGTTCTTGATCTGGCCAGCTGTTGTGAAGGGAGTTTTCTTCACCAGAAAGGATTCTTCGGTCATCCACCACAGTTGTTTTCCGTGATCTTCCGGGTCTTTTGGTGTTGCTGAGCTCACCGGTGCGTTCCTGCTTTTTGAGAATGTTCCAAATTGTTGTTTTGGCCACGCCTACAGTTTTTGCTATCTCTCTGATAGGTTTCTTTTGTTTTTTCAGCCTAATGATGGCTTGCTTCACTGATAGTGACAGCTCTTTGGATCTCATCTTGACAGTTGACAGCAACAGATTCCAAATGCAAATAGCACACTTGAAACAAACTCTGGACCTTTTATCTGCTCATTGTAATTGGGATAATGAGGGAATAACACACACCTGGCCATGGAACAGCTGAGAAGCCAATTGTCCCATTACTTTTGGTCCCTTAACAAGTGGGAGGCACATATGCAAACTGTTGTAATTCCTACACCGTTCACCTGATTCTGATGTAAATACCCTCAAATAAAAGCTGACAGTCTGCAGTTAAAGCACATCTTGTTCGTTTCATTTGATATCCATTGTGGTGGTGTATAGAGCCAAAAATGTTAGCACTGTGTCGATGTCCCAATATTTATGGCCCTGACTGTGTATCCATTCCCACACCGACAGACCGTTCACCCTTGTGTCTAATGCTGCTTCCAGGCTGCCTACGACAAGATCTGTGTTGCCAAGAAGCAGGCAGAAGAAAGAAACCGTAAACTCGATGATAAGAGAAAGAAAATTAAGCTTGGTGAGTCACATTTTCAAATCCATCTTAAGTGTATGGAATCAAGTTTTACACTTAAAAGTTAACACAGCAAAACCATGTTTTACTGCGTGTTTTGTCAACATAAATTCCTGTTGTTTGACAGACTTGGAGGCCAGAGAGCGACAAGCAGAATCTCAAATCCAGGAGGAGGTGCAAATCACTAGAACGCTTGAACAAGAGGTACGAGAAGTTTGGAGAAGATGCAGAAAGTATAAAAGGACCATAATTAAGGCCTCAAATGTAAAAGGTGTCCAAGAACTTAAATCCACATTTACCTTGTTGTTGAATATAGGCAGCTCAGGGTGTCTGATGCCCCCGAACGCCTGTGTCGTCTCCGACCTGCTTTCCTACAAATTTAATAATGTTTTAAGGAGAAATGCCACTTCATCACGTCTTGAGCTTAGACACCCCCCCTTATATTTGCCACGTCAACGTTGTTAACGTAAGCATTGGTCACGGTAGTGCTAACCACAGAACAAGGCTAGTCTGAGCTACTGGTAATGTCCTTGTTGGACGAGAGGAAAACAACAAAGAAGAATGTTGGAGCACTCGCAAGCCAGGATCTACTGGGATTAATGACACATCAAACTTATAAAGTGCTTTTTAGGACACTCAAAGTCACACACTGCCAGTGATGGTAAGCTACTATGTAGCCACAGCCGCCCTGGGGCGGTCTGACAGAGGCGAGGCTGCACATTTGCGCCGTCGGCCCCTCTGACCACCACCGACAAAGGCAAGTTGGGTCCTTGCCCAAGGACACAACAGCAGAATACCCCTGGCAGGAGCTGGAATCAAACCCATGACCCTCTGATCATGAGGTAACCCGCTCTACCACCTGAGCTACTGCTGCCCCATACCCAGACTCTGAGTGAATGCCAGGTAGATCCACCGTTTGTTGGGAAAAACCAGACGTTCCTTTGGAAGGCTTTGCTATGGGGTTGTTAAGGCTCCTGGGCCATTTAGAGCCTCAACAAAGATGTTGTAGAAGTTCAAAGAACAGTTCCCAACTTGGACATTTGAAACTGGAAACTGGACATTTGAATGCATCCAGGAAATTCTGAAGCAAAAGCAGGTGCCTTTTATGTAAATTAGTTGCACCTGTAAGAAAATATTTTGTCAAACATTTGGGTTTAGATGAAAAAGCTCAATCTGAGGAAGATTGAAATAAAAATCCCTATTATTTATTATTACCAGTGCAATACTTCTCAGAAGTCCCGTTTGGGGATTTTGCATGACTGTCCAGAATGTGAATGATAAATTGAAGTAGTGTGTTTTCTTTCATGTTGAGAATTTGCATCCACTTAATAAGTTTTACGTGTCAAAACATTTACTTTGAAAGGAACATGTACGAGATAGCTGTTTTAGTTTTGAGATGAATAAAGTAAATGTAAAAGAAGCGTGGTTCGTCTGTGACGTGTGCATGGGGATTTGTAAATATCACTTAATTACACGTGTGTGTGTGTTTCTGAAAGATTGCCCGGTTAAGAGAGGAGGGATCCAGACAGCTTGAGGAAGAACAGAGGCTCATCAGAGAGCAGATCCAACGAGAACGAGAAGCCCAGCAGCAAACGGGAGGCTTCGCTCACAGATGTATGTCTGTTTCTAAGATTGAAGCTGCATCAATCGGCTCATTCTAGGTTATCTAAACCCTTTCTGTTAATAAACCCAGTGTGATGCATCTGAGTGTTTTTATTGTCCTGAAATCTCTGCAAAGTGAGCCTCCATGTCTCCCAACCATCACCCAGTCAGTCTAACCACAGCAGCCACCATTCACTCTGCGGTTCACCAAATATTATTCAGATAATGGACAATAACAATAACCCAACTTTTATGAGAAGAGGTCTATTTTTGTTTTCTGGCAGGGACACAACTTGGCAACGTATCATAGGAATGCCAAGCGCAAAACATGCACACATAACGGTCCGTCAGAGCTCTTTGGTAATGTTTTTTCAGTTGGAGGCCGCAGAGGCTTGTGGAGATGTAAACCTGACCTCTCTCTGTGGTTGAACAATTACTCGTTCATAGTTGCTACATAATTTGAGTCTCTGCTATTTGCACGCATACGGCCCTCTCCTCATCAGGGCTCTGCCTGAGAAAGCCAAAACCTTCACACGTAACTGCCATTTTCGAGTTGCTGCCCTTGTGCACGAGTCCCTTGACTGCACTCTCGAGTTCCATATTTCAATTAAACAGTCGTTTCTTTGTCTTCTCACTTCACCGTGTCAGATTTCCCTTTTGCTTTTATTATTCTTTTTTTCTTTCTTTTCACAGACTCGGGAGGGGAGAGATGTTCCAAGAACAATGTGACCCCAAAGCTGAAGGTAAGACTTGCAGCGATGGGAATTGAATCAGCGCTCAGGACTGTGAAGGGGCTCAGGGCTGCAAGAGGAGAGGGAGGGAGAGGGGGGGGCGGCTTCCTATGAGAGAAAGACCAAGCAAAATCTCAAGACCTTCATCCATTTGTAATTCATTATTCAGAGACCACATATGCTGCTCACTACTGAGCACACATGTTGTACTAACACCGGTTCCTCCAGAGTAGGCACGATGTTGTCAGGGGACCAGTATTTATGCCAAAAGAAGGCTTATTATATTTCCTCCTGGAAAGGCCTCGTTCTGCGTGTATTAGCGAACACCGGGGATGTTAGCTAATGTGTTTATACGTTTAATTCGGCTTTAAGAATAGAAAGCCATCTCCTGCTGCAGTGTGTTCCCTGCTAGAATAAGGAACAGAGTCCAGTACGACGGCGCCACAAGCCAAAAATGTGGGAGACATCAGATATCTTTTAAATCGGGCTGTTCAAACTTTTCAAGTCCGTGTTTTAGGCGCTACTCTTCCAGAGCATGTCAAGCTCAGCAGTTCAGATCGGGACAGACAGGAAATCAGACCATGGAGCAGTGTAAAGCATCTGGGAACTTTCAAAATAAAATACTGGTGCAGATTTCCTGTTGCTTAAAGGTATTGCGGAGGATTTATTTCTTCCTGGTGGATCTTCTGAACCACTGTTCTGCATAAGTGTCAATCATTCTGGTGAACCATTCATGCAAGGCTCTTGTCGTACGTGCTCGTTGCCGGGTAGTTCTTACCTCATGTGCAAAGCGAAGTTTGGGATCCCCACAGACGCCTCTTGTCGCCGGTTTTCTGCTCGACAGGTAAGCTAAAGTTTGATTATTTGGAGAAATTGATTTCAGATTACTGCGAGTAG